CTGGGTCCATCACTTTGGATCCCCAGAACGTTAAGGAGTTGGGACTTAACGGGGCTCTCACAGTCAAGCACAGTTTCTGAGGGGTATCGGGGGGGGGGGGGGTGGGGGTGATAGGGAAACGCTAGTAGGACGGCGTTGTGACAAGGCAAGCGCTCTACGTTAGAACAGGATAGTAATACGCAGAGGTGTGCTGTTCGCGTGCCTAGTTGAATTTGCATATTGCACAGAGTCGGATTTGATTTGGATATACGATCTAGCGTACGACTGTTTCCCTATTTTGGCGCATAGTATACTCAGCCCTTATTACTTTTATTACCGTTATTCTATTGTTGTATTATCGTGTTGTTATTGTTGTGTTGTTATTGTTGTGTTGTTATTGTTGAGTGTCTTTCTTATCAAGGTATCAAAAATGAACAATAAGAGAAATAAACGTGGCGTCTCGAAGAAGCCGCATTTAAATACGCACAGGAAAAAAAAAACGTTTTCCAGATAGAAAGGTAGGTACCAAAACAATTATGAATTTTAGCATTCATTTTGCCAATAAATTAGACTATACGTAGTTACTATTACAACTATATTTTATATGTTATTTTAGCTTAAAAATGACAGCAAGGTTTCGCATATGCATTCTCTAACAGAGACAGATGGCATGGATCTTCAAATTCAGGTGTGTATACCCTTTTTTTTTAGATTTGCACCAGAGGCTGATATCATTTCTGGCAATTCTGATTAAAAATGCAGTAAGTTTACTTCATGACGTCGATAGTAGTATTGTAGAGCAGTTTAACTCAATCATAGCTAAATTCATTGGGGGTAAACGGATTAATTATTGCAAGAAGAGATCCTACCAAGGAAGATGTGCTGCAGCCGTAGTGAGCCACAATACACAGCGGCCTGTTTGTGTGATCCAAAAGCGGCTACTCCCTAGTTTCAGTCCAACCTCTTTGATTGCTAATGTTGAAGAAAGGAGAGCACACAAAAATCTGAAAAGGAAGCTGAAACCAAGGAAAATTAAAATCAGAGATAGTGATACTAAAGAGAACGCATCCTATGGGGAATTCTGTGAGAAGCCTGACATGAGCAACGAAGATATAGAGGCTGCCAAGGTAGAATTCTTGAAAAAACTTGCAAAAACCGACTCCGAAATTTCCCAGATCGAACAAGCCACAAAATCTCAGGATTGCAATTTGTGGCTCTTCATCGAAGAATGAGGTTGACTGCGTCTCGGTTTGGTGAGGTTGGTAGAAGAAGAGATACAACAAGTTGCAGAGCTCTAGTAAACGCCATAATATACCCAACTGAATTCTTTAGCAATGCATGTGACTATGGAAAAAAGCATGAAAGCGTGGCAAAAGCAGAAATAGAGAAATCATATTCGCATTCAGAAGTACAATCTTGCGGGTTGTTTATTGATAGGACCCATCCATTTCTGGCAGCATCGCCAGATGGTTTGATAGGCGAGAAAGGTCTGCTAGAAATTAAATGTCCATGGTCGGCTAGAGAAATGACCCCTGAAGAGGGCATTCTGAACAAAAAAATTACGTTTTGGATAAACGATGAAATAAATAAAAAACATAAGTGGTATTACCAAATTCAAGGGCAGCTTCACGTTGCACAAAGAGACTACTGAGTGATTGGTGTTTGGACCCCGTATGGTTTGAGAATAGACGTCATTCAAAAGGATGACGTTTTCTGGAAAAATGAAATGGAAGAGAAATTGAAATTCTTCTACATGAACTGCTTGCTCCCAGAACTGGTCGATCCCAGGAAAAGCAGAAATATGCCAATCCGCGATCCCGATGTGATCTTGAAGGCACAAGAGAACCGTTTGAACAAGAAAAAGAGTTCTTGAGAATTGGCTATTTTTGCTGTACTCGGGTACCAAAATGGAAGAGATTAGCATATTACATTGTACGCCGTTACTAACCCCTTCGTGTCGGCAAATGCGGTGTGCAGATCTCGCTTTAGCAGCGATGTGCGAGATGTTATGCTAATCTCTTCCATTTTGGTACTAGTACCAGATGTTCACTATTTATTGTATATTATGTATATATTGTTTATTTAAATAAAAGTCAATCGTCAGGCTCAATAGCACGTAGCATCGGCTAGCCTTATCTAGTCTGTTAGATGGCGAATATTGAAACGTCACATTCACACGTTAAGCGCCACAGTAGAATCTGAAAATCCAGTCCACTGGGCCAAACTGTTATTATTGTCAAATTAGCTTGTTTTAAGTTTCGGTTTAATATTTTGACTTGAGTTTTTTCTCAAATCCTATGATTCTTCCCCTTTTTTGATTTTTTTTCTGAGGTACTAGTTGTATGTCGCGTGGCCCACAGACCAGTCGGGTCGCGTAGCACATAAGTTGCGTCGTGTTTTTTGCAAGTCAAGACTTGCATCATGTCGCGCGTTGAGCACTGTTTCGTGTCATTTATTATTGAAGCGTTGTTGGTATTGTACGTCATCTTGTCCAAATTGCTTTACTGTTTATAAATTATTGAATACCAAATTTGTGATGTCGCATTACGAAGCGGAGCAAAAAAGGCTTGAACAATTGTGTAATGAAATACTATCGGATGAAGAGAGTGGCAGTACTGAGTTATGTGGGGATGTATACTTATCTGATGCGTATTCTCCAAGAGGTAGTGAATCAGATAGTAGTTGTAGTAATTCCATATTTATCTGTATTACTGTTTATTTATACCGATATTTTGTTTATTCCTGCATAAGACTTTGTCAATCTGTTTAGTTTATAAGAGTTCCTCCATATTTGTGTTCGTTAGAATATCGACATTTACCATAACTTACTGATTTGCTGTGAAATTACTTTGTTCATTTTTGAATGAGAATGTCTGATTATTTTATAAGATTTGCTTTTTGTTTTTGATTTTTAGAATATCCTCTTTTTGTAAAACTCTATAAACAACGTGTTTTTTAATGTTTTCATTTCCAATTCAGTATAATTTGGTCCATCAGGCCACGGACTCTTGGTTCCCGTAAGAAAATCACATCAGCATGGCACACGTCTTACGTTACGCGGCCAAATATAACTGCCAGCAGTGAGACATATCATGTGTGTCACGAGGCCCAAAGCGCCAAATGAGGTGCGACACACGCATTATATCTCATGACGCTTATCGTGTTAAGTTTATTTTACGATACTCCATAAGGTTAAAGCTAAACAGCAAGTGACATTTTATTTGTGTTAAATGCGTTCACTATAATTATTATTTTTAACGAAAAAGATTACCGCCTCCAATGACCCTGGAACCACCTGGAAACTTTTGGTCACAAAGTTCTGTATTTTACCACACATGTCAAGTCTTTTCATTTGATATGTAAATTGGGGGTTTTGTACAAAAATATGTAACTCGCAATTTCGAAACGGCGGCAATCTTGGAATCAAATTTTTAGTGAAGTACTGTATTCTACAAGGCGACGAATCTTATTTGAGATATTAGCAAGTATGTTATCCGCCATTTTGTAACGGCCGCCATCTTGATTTGAAACTGTTTTCGTATTACTGTTTTGTACAAATTCTTCCATTTGATATCCATATTGGGGTGATTGAACAAAAATGATTTTTTGTGGTATCACCTCTGAAGTATGGCCTATTGTATAAAAAGAAATGATCAAAATCGATTAAAAATTTCCCCTCTTTCATTGAAGTCTATTAAAAATATCACTTACTGGTCCGATGTTTATCACGAACGACAACTGCTACTGTTGAACTTGGGACAACAAATTATCTGAATACGTCCTTTCTTAGTCCGTACACACCGCCGCGTTGCTTTGACTGGCAGCACGAGATAGTGGATAAAATTCGTGTAAAAGCCTATTTGCAGAGGTTTTCGCGCTTCAAAATTGACGCTTCATTTTTGAATATTTTTCAATGAAATTTTCACAGTGCACTAAAAACAAGACTCCACAGGGTGCTATAGAGCCACTTTTTCGTCTTTTCCTCTGGGTTATTTTTAAAAAAATCGAGAAGTCGAACAACAATTATCTGCACTTCACCCACCATAACTCCTGAAAAAAAATTTTTTTTAGAAAAGTGGCTCTATAGCACCCTGGACAATTGTCTTCTGAACATACTGTATAAATTTTATTCAAATATATAGAAAAATGGAGCGTCAATTCCGAAGCAGCTAAACCCTTGTAAATGGCCTGAAACTCACTGCGTCGGAGCCGCCTTAAGGCTATACTCAACTTTGCTAGAGGGGCGGGGCCCTATGCCCTATGCGCCGGCTCCTCATGTTGGGCGATATACCTCTAATTTCATAATTCATTCATTCATCCCTATTCTATGGGCTGTAGCTAAAATGATTTGATAAATTTTGATGTATGAGGTGTCTCTAGATTTGTCTCGACATCAACATAGCTTTTGGTCAGGACTTGAATTCCTGCCGTTGTATTGAATAGGTGTGCAGCGGAGCTTGCTCTAGTTCTTTCGCGTCCCTTCCATATATCTTAAGAATCCGGCACCTTCCCAAAACAGGAAATTTACTCACGTGCAACCCAGATATGGTACATTGCCTTCTTACGCCAGCTTCCATCATAAGGCCTCCCAGAGAAGCTTTGCAGATGGATGACTGACTTTGATCGCGGAACTTCTATAACAGACAGTCTCAGGACCCTTTTTTACCGGCAGGCCGTTGGCGATCTAGCCCTCTTCTACTGCTACACCAACTAGCTTTGCTCCTCAGAGCTCTCCTCCTTGATGCCGCCGCGCGATGTGCCTGCCAGACAGACCCGCTTGACTTCGCCCCCCATTCTAACCGTGTCGAACTTCGTACATCTAGAACTGGCCGATAGGACCGCACCTTTGTCCCTAGGGTGTAGAGATTGTGGAACAATCTACAAAAGGAGCCGTTTCTCAGTTCTACTAACGTTAGGCAGTTCAAAAATCGGATTAACAAAGTTTCTTTGAAATTCTCATATCAGCCAGTCCTGTCATTCAGGATTCTGGCTGCTACAGTGTCAAAAAGACCTAGTGCACAGTTTGACACTTTATTGATTTTTTGAAGTTGTATAAGTTTTAAGTAATAGTTATAATTGGAGTAGTTTTCATGATTATCAATAGAATCAGTTCAAGACTTCTGTACATTGCATGAGCTTTATTTTTTTGAAGATACACTCGTTGATATGCTTGATCTAAGCGGTTTATCATTGGACCTACTCCTACTTCTGGCGTTTTCTCTAAATGAATCATCACTGAAAGTAAGAAATAGTTTAGTTTTTTCCAAATTCGTCACTCTCGTCAATCCATCGACAAATCGACAAACAAGAGTTATAATTTTTGTTGGCAACGAACTACCACTATAAACAGAATATTTTTAACGGTAATAGCGCTTAAGGAGTGGGGACAATTATGTTCCGGCCTCGTCTCTTAAATAGAACAGGTGTAGTACCCCGTTTTCCGGACAAACTCACGCGTTCAAAGGGCACACGCAGAGAAGAAAAGCAGCTCGCCGCGCCCTCTCACCTTCCTCCTTTTCAGCCCCTGGCCAACAAACTCTCATTCCTTGTTCTCGTGCCATGAGCTAAATATCGTACTCGAGTTCGAGCACCAATTTTTACGTTTTCAACGGTGTCCAGGTGCCCAAACATAAGATACAACAAAGGAGCTGGAGCGAAGGTGGACCGATAATTATGACGTGCAAAAAAGTGGCGTGCAGGCCTCTTTCTCTGAAGGGACGTCACCATCAGGTAATTGTCGACTAATCGATCTGCTTTAGGTAGAAGATAGGTGGATGAGTATGGATGCGTCACCGGTGTTGCAGATTTCGTGCATGATATAGTGCACGTTAAAAGTATAGACAACATGTTACTTTTTATTTGTCTACCCCTAGACCTAGAACAAACATCATAAGATTTTCTCCACTATTTTACTCTTATGATAAGACTAATAACAATGCTAAACAATTTGATATATTTCTGTGAGGTTTTGTCTATTTATTGCTTTCTCATCTGCACTATGCTGCTTGTAAATATTTGTAAATTGCATCTTTCTGTCTGAACTACCAACTCTTGGATGTAATATGAAATAATTGTATGTTTTCAAGTTCGAACTGTGTCCTACTCTGTAAATGGCAGTTGCTGTTGAGTAGTGTATAAATAAATAAGTAAGTAAACAAAAAGTATTATAGGCCACGCATTCATCAGAGAAATTCATATATTTTTATCTGCAAAATGTCTAGGAGACTCACTCCTTTCGTATAAACTGGTTCATGACATGGAAATATGTGAATTTCTGTTAACTAAGATTCCCTTTATCGTGCCCCAGCCAAAAAGTAGGAATTTAAAAGTTATTTATTGTGAATGTGCTAGAACTAATATTTTGACTAAATCACCTGTTTCAATACTTTGTAGCAAATTGAGCTTAATAGGTAACATCTGTGACATTGATTTTTTTCTCCCTCGCTAGTTTACAAATTAATTTTGATAACATTCAATATGTAAATTTTTCTACTTTTTTTTATTCAATTGATTATTTTTACACGCTTTTTTTCAAAATGACTAGGAGACTAAATGATATCGACTGGTGGAATTAGCTTCATAAATTTATTTGGAAAACACACATCGAATGATTGTAGTGATGTTGTCAGGTAGAGCTGGGTTGGATCTGAACGAGTCGTTCCAAAGGAAGGCAGAATGAATTGATGGAGGAGTCGATTCCGACCATCTCGAAAGAATTGATACTGTTTGTTTCGATTACGATTCATGAAACCAGGTTGTATTTGAACTACTTGCTTGAAAGGAATGATACCAATCAGATTAGGATATCGCCACTACCGCAATACGGGTCCTTGCACTATCACTTCCAATTCACTCCAAACGAGTAACGATCTACAAGGCAATATGTGTAGTGTGGAGTTTGGAGTATGGGCATTTTTTCGATTGATGTTGACATTTAACTGTTAAATTTGTCGCAGAAGGTGAAACTGAGCGAGTACAAAATAGTATTACACAAAGTTAAACAATAGGTAAAATAATTAGGTAATACAATCGTAAAAAAAGGAAACTAAAGCATTTCAGATAGCAAGACTGCTAACGAATAGGGTGGCAAGAATATTTGTACATTACTCCTCCAGTATTGGGCTAAGTGTTATCCCCAAGACCGAACCACAAGTTCAAGTTTGGATCCATCGATTTCTACCATACTCAATGTCCAGTAGGACATTGGAAATTGTATAAAAGTGGCACTTGTGAAGGTGTAGCAAAGCAAGGTATACACATAGCAATAGCACACAGGCACTACGGAAGGTAGATAATGCAGTGTCGTTCCTTTGTAGCATTCATTATGTACCGTCCTCGTCGAAGTAAATATTTGGAATACATATCGTAGTACCCTCGCAGTAGTACCCAACCGCCACGATTTCAAAGTGCGCGCGCAGAGAAGGAAACCGGCACCGCGCCACTTCCTTCTACCTTTCTCCCCTCTGGTCGCCTATAAACCTTCAAACCTTCATTCCTTGTTCTCGTGTCCGACCGTCAAGACGTTAGTCGGCGTGCGTGTGATGTGCAGTGCGAGGATCCGCTGAACATTTAGAATTAGAAAGCAGGAGAGAAGGTTAGCCGATAGATGTGCTTTTTTGAACGAGATACCGACCGACGGTCGCCTGAAGATTGCTTTCGTCGCCGACCAAAATTAAAGTGGCGTGCAGGCCTCTTTTTCTGAAGGGGCAACACCATCAGGTAACTGTCAACTAACCGATCTGTTTTAGGTGCAAGTTAAATGAAAATTAGTATGGATGCCTCACCGGCGCTGCAAATTGTGCCTAGCATGACGTTTGGGATGACGTTCTGACACTGTTGCTTGGGATAGCGAATTTCATACCTAGGACGAACAAAAACGTTTGGGATCACGCTAAAACAATGGACTCGGTTGCTTGGGATAGCAACGTGGACCCGGCTTGGGATAGTCAGCTTCACACCAAGGACGAACGAAGACGTTTGGGATAACGTGGAAGCATTAGACTCGGTTGCTTGGGATAGCAACGTGGACCCGGCTTGGGATAGTCAGCTCCACACCAAGGACGAAGGAAGACTTTGGGATAACGCTGAAACATTGGTCTCGGTTGCTTGGGATAGCAACGTGGACCTGGCTTGGGATAGTCAGCTCCACACCAAGGACGAACGAAGACGTTTGGGATAACGTGGAAGCATTAGACTCGGTTGCTTGGGATAGCAACGTGGACCCGGCTTGGGATAGTCAGCTCCACACCAAGGACGAAGGAAGACTTTGGGATAACGCTGAAACATTGGTCTCGGTTGCTTGGGATAGCAACGTGGACCTAGCTTGGGATAGTCCACACCAAGGATGAATGAAGATGTTTGAAAAAATCCATCCAGTGGATTCCTCCTTTCACCACGTCGCCTTCTAACCCTTACACCGACGTAATCGCCTTGAGTGGTGCAGACAACGGTCAGTCTGGGATCAGGAATGGAACAGTATTGTCTTTAGTGACGAGTCTCGATTTTGTTTAGGCATGCACGATGGTCGTGCCAGGGTTAGAAGGCGACGTGGTGAAAGGAGGAGTCCACAGTTTTTTGTTGAAAGACATGTTCATCACACTGTTAGAGTTATGGTTTGGGGTGCTATAGCTTATGGTTCCAGGTCACCTTTAATCTTCATCAGAGGTAACATGAACGCGCAGCGTTATATCCACGAAGTTCTAGAACCCCATCTTTTACCCTATCTTGACACCCTGGCAGATCCAACTTTCCAACAAGATAATGCCCGACCACATGTTGCAAGAGTCACAATAGACTTCTTTCAACATAATGATGTCACATTGTTACCATGGCCACCAAGATCTCCTGACTTATCCCCAATTGAGCACGTGTGGAATATGATGGGTAGGAGATTGCTCAATTTGCAACATCCTCCTCAGACTCTAGAAGCACTTCGAGAGGAGTTGGTGGTTGCCTGGAATGAGATACCACAGGAGGACATTGACCACCTGATCAGAAGAATGCCTAGGCGCGTTGGTGCATCCACACATTATTAAAAGTCAAAGGGCTTTAAAGCAGTGCAATCATTTTGAAATTTTTATCATTTACTTATTATGCTTCATTAAGTACTTATATAAAATTTTATTAAAATAAAACCATTTAAACTGGGTGTTCGGATTTATACGTCACTTAGTATATTTCAGATTCATATTCAATTCATCCAATACAATGCTGTACCGTTTAGGGTAAATTATACCCCTTATGTGTTCACAAAGTTAATAAAACCATTTTTGGAATACCTTAAGAAAAAATTGAGCACTCTCAGGCTCAGTATTAAATTGTGACAGAAAGAAAGTAACTTTACTTGAGCGGACGATGTAGACATTACTAAACCTAGTAAGGAAAATAATGGACAGCAACCAAGACAGAGTCCGAAACTTTGCGGTGAACATCGGGTTTTTGGTGTCAGCTTGTCTTTCATTTCGACTATACACTAACGAGTGAAATTTCTTGCCTTGTAAAATTCTCAAGGAAATTTTAAAGCAACTATGCCATGAAGATAATATATCTTAAGGTCTACCTCGGCTGGGGCTCAAAGAACCTGGCAGATGCGGTCAGAGGTATTGAGTTATCCAATTTTTTGTTGTATAACTTCTCGGACTGGGACATTCGTTGGCCAGGGAAGAGTCTCTAGTTTTTTGGTCACCCAACAAGATCCTGCATGCTAATCATCAAGAACAACTGGTAGTTTTCTTCTGTGGTGAATTCTTTGCTACCGAATTGGTGGGCTTTCGCATATTATACCCTATCCTACATCAATAGAATGGAGAGCTTCTGGTTTGCACGTCTGGATCAGGTTGCGGAAAAACTACGGCAATTGTGTAAAGAGAGAAATCTTACTGCCCTCACGTCAAATATAAAATCTAGGAGTAATACTGGTACAGATGAGCTTTTGCTTGTGTCAGTGAGACGTGGAAACGGAGTGGGAGCTGCACCTGTCACCGTCCTGATTTTGGTTCAAGTATTCGGTGTTTCTGAAATTTCACTTCTAGAAGTAACGCACGGATCTGATGGAGGAACGCAGGACGCCGCCCCCACTAATTCGTAGGCTTACCATGGTTTTCGTCACTGGAAAGCTGTCATTCCAATCAACATCGATAATCCATCATGTATTGTGGGCTTAGATTACGGTAGGACCTTTGTCGGGAAGAAATACATGTCTAGTTTCCTACCTTGAAATGTCTTACCTTACAGGTGATAATAGATCAAGGTATAATTGTTTGAGCTATCAGTCTTTTACCCAAAATGTTACTAACGATGCAGACATTAGATGTTTTTTGAAGGGCATTTACAATTTGAGGTCATCTCAACTGAAATATAGATACTGTGGTTCTCAATCAGCCAAAGGGGTTGCTGGTAAGCTCTGTAGATATTTGGACGAGGAAATCGGCAACACTGCTAGCTCTGACCTCAGGTCAGGCAAACTAATTGAAACAGACAACTGAAATCGCGATTTCTGAGTTTTTAAAAGTCTCGAGGTCACTCATGTGGCAACCACTTAAGTTTTACCGTATTTTACGCCCAAATATCTGTGCAAAGAATTTACTTGTCACTGTACAGTAAGTTTATTATGGTGCCTCGACTCCCAGATGGATGAAGTCGGTTTTAGCAGAGAGTGTAACAATTGACAACCCACAGTACATGAAATGCGTCTACCTCTCCTCCGGCTAAATTATAGTAGACTCAGGCTCGCTGCGTGCTGGAGCGCGTTTTATGAGAAATCTCTTATGTCAAACAATAGCTTTCCTCAAGCGGCATTTGAGGTGAACCAAGTCTCCACACCTTAAACATAACTATGTTATTACGTTATTAGCTCATTATCATGAGATGGAGCGTAATTTTTGAACCAGGTACGTCATATTACCTGTTGCTAAATGCCTTAACTTGAATTGTTACAATGGAAATGTACATTTAGTTGACACATACATTGCGAACAATTTGTGTAGTTGTGTACAACCTATGGTTCACTATTGTAGAGCGTTAGTAGTATGTTGTTGCAGCTAGCTTTGAATATCTACGATATGTATTTCAAATATTTACTTCGACGAGGACGGAATATAATGGCATGATCAAACGAACTTACCTGTAAGTCATGGTCGATCATAATTATGTCCCCGTCGAAGAAAATAGCTCCCTCGCTCCCTATGTATCACCCAATTGTTGCAACAACTTGCCTTTGGAGTAAATGAACGTTAATAGGCGACCAGAGGGGAGAAAGGTTGAAGGAAGTGGCGCGGTGCCGGTTTCCTTCTCTGCGCGCGCGTTTAGAAATCGTAGCGGTTAGGTACTACTGCGAGGGTACTACGATATGTAATCCAAATATTTACTTCGACGAAAACTTCACATAAATAAGATCGAACATCACTTACAGGTAAGTTCGTTTGATCATATAATTTTGGTATAGTGCAAATCGGATTGGAAAGGAATCGTGAACAAAATGAAGAAATCGGCCCAAGGCCGGAACTGAAACTGCGAAGTCAAATCACTAAAAGAAACGATTTGGCTCAGTTCAATTGTAGGATGCATTAAAGGATATCGTCTAATAAATTAGCGTCACAAGTTAATAGTAATCTTTGACATTTTTTGTAGACCTCAGTGCACTAAGTTTTAGCTTGCTGATTTGTTTTGTTTGTTGAAGATTTATTTAACATTAATGCTACAATGTCAATTTTGTATAATTATTCGGTTACATATTTTTCTTCAATCCATTTTACATTCTTGTCTATTAAAATTACATCACTATTCATTTTTATTATTCATAAAGTGAATTTTTTAAATTCGGACACTGTTTAATATCATTATTCAATTTATTAAATCCAAATACTCCCTTTTGAAATATAGACTCACTAGTTATGCTATTACAATTTTGCAGATGAAAATCTGTACAGCCTCTAGTTTCGTAGTTATGATTTTTAGATAACATATTAAATTTTTCACATATAACCACTGTAGTTCTTCTAGTATAGACTTAATCCTAGTATATTTATTTTTATTCAAAATGATTCTCATAGTTTTATTCTGTAGAATTTGTAATTTTGAAAATATGTTTTCATTTATAAAAATGGGGAATAATTATAGTATTATACACATTTTTTTTTGGAATATGGGAAACTCTATAGAAGTAACTTATTTTTTTGATATTTTTGAAATAATGTATTCATAATGCTCGTGAAACCGTAGTTTACTGTCCACATAATACCAATATATTTAAATGATATGACTAATAATTTTTTTTCATCATTAATCATGAGCATGACATACATTTGACCCACTGAAAGGTAAGTAAGGGGGAGGGGCTTTCGGAAAGCACTGCATAAAAACATATCGTTGGTACGGGACATGGGACTCCGCATAATAAGCTTAAAAAATAAAATCAGAAATCACCTCGACTCAGAATCGGAATCTTCCTGTCTGTTCTTCACTATATCAGAACCACTTTCATTGATTTTTTTCTTACTTTGTTTATGCCTCTTGAAAAGTGATAGGGAGAATCTATGTTTAGCAGCAGGTCCTTTCGGCGTTTCTTGCGGCTCTGATTCGGCTTGTATTACCGCTGTTGGTGTCATCAGGGACTGAAATTGATTCAAATCATAAACAAGTATACATTGAATTCTTTAACCGCCCCTGCCTCAAACGGTTGTTCTTGCATCGTCGCTGAGAACGCATCATTAAAACAGAAAACAGCATCGGTGGTAGGTTACCACGACAAATACGCAGAAACTTAGATGCACAGGTTGAACATATAACAGCTGTATTTTGTGGTAGGAGGTTAAAGACACATTGCAGACATTATTAATTGAACTACATTTAATAAGAAACATCTAGTAGGTTGATGTAGTATTTTCTACGTGTTCACCTATCCTGTACCAAACAGCGTTACCTACAACCTACAGCCAGGACAACCGCACTTCAGTAATCTTACAAGGTAACTTTGATGTGGATGCCTGGATATTTAGGTAATGCAGGAAATGAAATGGCAGATAAGCTCGCAATATGTACTTTTCATCATCTTCAAGCGGTAATGAATATTTTTGCTTTTAATATAGCTATGAAAACCTGGAGCAGTTCCGGTACTCTTTTTTATGGTTTGCTAACAATGAATTTCTTTGGGTTCTCTGATGATCTTGTATCATTTTAAGATATAATGACAATATCTTCATGCTCTCAAGCCAATCATTCCAACTTAACTGCTGACAAGTGCTTCGTTGCATCTTTTACAAAAACAGAATATTCTAATGTTTGAATATTACATTCAGGAGCAAATTGATGATTTAGGAATTCTCTTCTATCAAAAAACATATTTTTCTGCACATATGGATGCCACTGTTTCGTTAGCTAATAAAATGTTATGCTTCATCATGACGAATGCTAGAGAGTTATCGTCTCATTTCTTAAAATTCTATACTCTATGATGTCTTGATTTGGAAGCACATTAATAAGATCGAGCGTGTACGGATCTATTTCCTGAGCGAGGATTTGATTACTCTTTGTTGTTTGATGAAGCAAATTTTGGTCCTCTGATTACAGCGCGTATTTTTCTAGCAACACTTCTTTTGTATAAACTGGTTCATGACAATGAAATATGTGAATTTTTGTTAACTAAGATTCCCTTTACCGTACCCCAGCCAAACAGTAGAAATTTAAAAGTGATTTATTGTAAATGTGCTGGAACTAATATTTTAACTAAATCACCCGTTTCAATCATTTGTAGCAAATTGAGCTCAATAGGTAACATCAATCTGTGACATTAATTTTTTCCTCCCTCGCTACTTTACTAATCAATTTTGATAACATTTAATATGTAACTTTTTCTACTATTTTTTTTTATCCAATTGCTTATTTTTACACGCTGTTTTTGCTCGACATAAATGTATGTATGTATGTAATAATGGAATCTTTAAACCAATTTTCATCAATTTCCAGAAGTCTAATCATCTTGAAAATTTGCATAGGGGTCAAGGGCTGATGACATTATAATAATCTTGAAAAAAAAATCGAATATTTTGAAAGTTATAAAATAATTGGAAAATGTGGAAATTTTGAAAATAATTTGAAGATTTGGAACTATTGAAAAAAATTGAAATTTAGGAGAGAGAAATGTACTTCTCAGCCCTTTCCAGCAGTTGCCGCGATTGATGAGACATGTCCGTGTCAGATCAAGCCCTCGGTGATCATCACTCCAACCAGCCGAAATGAACAGCTCATTGGTAGAACTTGGCCATCCGTCCACACCGGATGAGAGCTAAGACGCTTCTTGTTAATCACGGTATAGCATTGTTTTGGACGTTTTAAACTGTACCAGATTGTTGTGTCCCCAACCTGTGATAACATCCAGGTCATTCGTCAGAAAGGAAGTCGCTACTAGTCTTTTTTTCTCCAGCTCACTGACAGAGATCGGCCTGGCACTGAACTCCTACATGCAGTGTGCCATCATAAGCAAAGCTGTGGATCGGATTGATATGAACTTAAAACTGGCTTTTTTCTATGAATTTTTAACCTCCCTCCCTACACGAATAAGCAGTTACACGAAGTAAACAAAAGCCAACAATTCTCGATTCTACAAAGTAATTAGTAATAATCATATTTTACGAAAAAAGTTCTCAAAGCCAATTCACTATATCGCTGCTTGAAATAAAGAGTAAACTAGTACATTAAACTCTGCAGTTTGTTTGAAACTTCATGTATATTTCTCGCAAACAGCAAGAAATAGCACGCCAGAGTTACACGGGAGGTAGATTGGCTGCAGATCAATCAGATAAAGTCAACATGACCTTAGTAAACGTTTTCTAGTTTCCGAGATATTGCGACTTTTAAGCTTTTTCAAGAAAAGCCCTTCTTTTTGCTCATTTTTTGCAATGTTATGTCTATAAAGAACTTCTAACTTACGTTTTTTTTTTCATTAATAATTGGTTGAGACAACCAAGTATTAATTTCATCGAAAACAAACTAGCACGGCATGCTAAAAAAACTGAATTATTACATTTGGTTTCAATGCGAAAACCTTTACTAAAGTTTGACTGATTACAGTGAAAAAAATCTACCCCACCGAATCGGCAAATGATCTTGAAAACTTAAATTTACTTAGATTTTTTGCAACATCCTTTTGGAAGATATGTCTCTTGAGTCAGGAAGATGGGTACTCTGCATACTATGCTAGTGTAGTAAGGGGGTTAATCTTGATGAAACATCTTGAAGATGGCTTGGCTGGCTAGAACCAATTTTGTGGCTCCCACGCTCGCTAGACCTGAACCCTCTGTTTTCTTTCCTTTGGATGTTTAAAACATAAGGGTTATGGAAAACCAGTTAGATCAGCCGATGAACTGCGTCATCGAATCCGTCAAGCAGCACGCAAAATATCCGATCCGAAGTTTGAGACGTTTAAAAGTCGGTGGTAGACGTTTTGAAAATCTGTTGTGAAAACAATAATTTCAATTATAATCATTTATTTCATGTAGTATTTACATTACAAGTTGTTAATTTAATTTTCATTTAGTTAATTTAAAATGTTAATAAGTATTCCTAATTCTTTATTTGATTTGATTGTTATAAAAATCAATGGACCGAATGCCTGCATACAAAAATGAATCGAAAATGATCATGGATAGCTGTTTTAGACCTTTGCTAAAATAAGAAGCTATTACAGCAACTACAAAGTTGTAATTTGGACACAAAAGACAGCTGCGCTTATTTCTAGTATTTCGAAAGTATTACGACTTCAATGACAAAAGTTGGTATTATTCCGTTTTTAGTAAAAAGAACCTACAAATGTTATACTATATTTGAAAGAACATTAAATAGCTAGTTTTTAAGGTCATTTGCCGACTCAGTGTGGTACACTGTTTTCGCAGTAACTAATCAAAGTTTAGTAAAGGTTTTCGTAATGAAACCAAATGTAAGAATTTAGTTTTTTAGCATACCGTGCTGGTTTTCCAATGAAATGAATAATGGGTTGTCTCTTGTCTGAAGCAACTATTGATTGTAGCCCAGGAAAAAAATCATAAGTTCTTTATAGCCATAACAAGCAAAAAAGGAGCAAAAAGTGTAGATTTTTTGAAAGAACTAAAAAGTGACAATATCTCGAAAACTCGAAAACCTTTACCGTGTCACTAACGTATTATTTCTGGGACACCCTCACGCATATGGAAAATACCTTGTCTTGCAGTTTAATTGGAATTTTCCTACTATCAAGACCAAATGTAATTGATAAATCATTGTTGCATTGGTACTACTGGTAGACACAACTGTCGTTTATATTTACCATTACTACAACCAATTAGCATTCAATTTTTCCATTAATATAAAAAGAATTTGCGTATTCCCCACGTTTCAATAAAATCTAGAAAAATTGAGTACTCTGTGAGCAATTCTTCTTTGACAAAGCACACAACTTTGCACATCGCTTTGGAATATCCGACAAATTTAGTTGGGAGGTCTTCCTAATGAAAGCAAAATACACGATAAGCCCGATGTCAAATACGATAATTATCTGATCTATCCAAGATTTCCTCAAGGATTCTCATTTTTTGCTATGCAACTCCACCGAAAGTGAAAGTCTCTCAGGGGACTCTAACCTTTAGGATCGTTTGTGAATACAGCTCTATATATCAACATTCGGCACTTACATTTTTTGTCTGGTATTTTTATGATCCAAACAGTTTTCACAATACAATCAGTATGATAAAAATTATCAAAATTTCCTGTTTTTCAATTGAGTAATAAAATTTATTACATCTGAGGCTTCTCATGGTGAGATGTTTCAAGATACCTCTCTCTGTTTATGCTCCCTTACTACTTGGTCCAAAATCGAATCCTTCAGCAAGCTGTGTCTTTGTATCCCTGAAGATGTTTCTATTATATTGTTGTTATTGTGCTCTATCAGATCTTGTTCTAACCAGTTCTGCAAACGATAGCAAGATGTATGAAGTCCAAGGAACATTTCACATTGACTTTAGAGTTTACGATCGAAAACTATTTTATCTTTTTTAGAAAACTTGGTATATGAAAAATTTCTGAATGGAAACGTCTTAGCGCTCTTCCTCACCGGGAGGTCATGGCGACGTCCCCCGATAGCATTAAATATTTATTAAATATTTAAAAAAAAATGTTTGTTAAATATATGTAGCGACAGATTTTTTTATATTCAATAAACATATTTTTTATATATTTATAAAATATTTATTATAGATATTTGTAGTATATATAATTCATAAATTTTTGCGATATTTTTTCCAAATATTTAGAAAATATATGAGGAAAGATTATTAAATATCAATATTTTATTTTGATGAAATATCTAACATTTTTCGGAAATATGTTTGGATTTTCAAGCATTAATCTGACACATATTTTCAGTGTATATAGAAAATTCTTCATTGGTTATTTTAGTAAAACCTGTAGGAATGCTTATATAAAATTGGGTTTAAAAAGAAAATTCATTCTAGGTATAATGGTTTAATTTGCTAGAAAAATATTATTAAAAAAACATTCTAAGCCTCTTCTGCATCTTGCAAGTCCACTCCTCTGAAAAAAAACAAACTTACTAATTATGAAGTATTATTGAATACATAAAAGCTGCTTTCCAGTGTATTTATGGGAATATAAAATGCAGTGGAACAATATTGGTGCTGAGCATGGTGAGTTACTCCGAGTAGCTCAACTGGGCCACTGAAAAGCAGCTATGTATAATGCACCTAAAAGGACCTCATTTTCTGCCTATGATAGTTCCAGATTTGGTTAATTTTTAAGAACATTTGGTATGTTATTTTAGATATTATCTTGATGTTCATGGGCACAACTTGATCCTTTGATTAACTTTTAAGGAAAAGGTTTTTGAAAATAGACCACTTATTGATTTTGTTGAAATGTGACTTTTTTTAGTAAGGGAGCTAACTATTTTGTGATTTTATAATTCAAGGGACAAAAGTATAGTATTTTCGACTGTTAAAATTTTTGAACGTACTACGACAAAAAAAAATAATAATTGAGATATTTAAAAGAAGCATTTTTGATGTATCTTGATCAAGTTGCGATTATATGTCTTTTCATTGGGATGTTATGAACATAATTTTCGTATCCATTCTCAGATAAATCCACCAATACCAAATAACTGTTACACTTCAAGGCTAGTTATTTATGGACTTGTGAATACCTTTATACTCAGCTGGCACAATAATGTTTCTTAGTCGGATAAATTAAGCTATGTAATTATCGAAAAACGTACCCTTTTCGTTTTCCACAAAAAAAAAAAACACTTAAATAATGAACCACTTGGAGGTACATAGGAAGCACGCATAGTGAAAGTCACAGGTAAAATGGATGCCGGCAAACGGGTCGCCTCAGGCCGGCTTGCTATTATCCCATTGGTCGCTCGAGGTCACACGCACATTAAGAAAACAAATATTTAAGTGAGATAAAAATATTATTAAATATTAAATAAATGTTTAATGAATATTTCGTGCTATCGGGGTCGTCAGAGTGCGTAGCCCAACTATCATATTGATTTGGGCGTCCGTGGCGACTCTGACACCAGGGAACGGTCATATATTTCAATAGCTTACTTTAGCTACTGATGCTAGTAACAGCGCCGGCAACGCATTTTTTTTTGTCTTTAATCTATCTACCTGAAAAAAGTTCAATTGGTAGAGTAAATCAGGAATTCAACCGGTAGAAAGTACGCAAAAATCGTGAGCGTTCATAGTTCAAACAAATTTATATTCTTTAGCATAAAGCTAATAAGCTACTAATGCTCTGAAATCACAATGCTTTCTGCAACTGATGCCACGTTACCGTTATTACATGTTCAATTTAATTGATAAATTAATGCCTTCTGTTAAAATTATGGTAAGCTATCAAATACACACAATATTGTCTCAAGAAAACAGAACAGTAAGATACATACGGGACGCAAAGACTCAGGGGGAAAGCTACGAGGAATGATGACATTGCTGAAATTTTTAAGGTAAGATGGATAGCACGGATCAAAGCTAGAAGATGGCAAACAATGGATTAAATTTGCTTACAATTGTTAAAGTATAATGTAATATATTTATCTGGTTATTAGCATTACACCGTAAGGTATGTCTACTCTATTTCTCATCCAGATCATTCATTCATTTCCAGCATGTTCGCATAGTGCCGACGTAACCAGTTCAGCACCAGCCAGGACTGACCGCATCGTCACTGAAGTCTTCGGACCCGCATGCCCGGGTCGGGTATACACGATTATACAAGTGTTTTCGGAAAATACTAGACAAAAACCCGCATACCCGGGACTCAATACAAATTATGATTTTTTTTCTGCTTAATGAATTACTTTCGCCTTAAGAAAATGATGAATGACCAAATGCGTTTAAAAAATTAGTACCAATAACCACTTCAGATTTGACAAATGCCTCAAATGAAATACTAAAACTCTTCCCAAAAAATTCACTTAAAATATTCTCCTTTAATAATTCATAAAGAAGAAATGGGCCATGAATTGCAATTGCTGTTCGATGTAGAAACGCATTGAAACAGTTTGGTGTCGCGAAGTGGTGATAATAACGTCACGCTGCACGAACTGACTGCTGCTTCATTCGCAGCTGAATGAATATTACCAATCGAACCTTTTTCAAGTAAGCTTCTTCGTGGCTTTGACAGCAGCCCTTATACTATCTTTAAAACATTGGACTGACAAGAAATTGAGAGATTAAACGAACTTACCTAAGTGAAGTTTGATCCTAATTATATGAGCCTCGCCGGAATAAATAAGGATAAGTGTAGTAGCTCTGCTTGCAGTCAAATCTCACACAGTTCAAAGCAAATTTTCTCACCCTTGAGAGTTAACTGTTCTAAAGTAGGATTCGTAGAATATGAATTTTTTATATAGTTCAAAACTATGCCTGGATCCCAGGTGTTGTTATACTTAGGGAGCGGAGGCCTTAAGCAACTCAGTCCTTTGAAAAATCTTTTAATTCTGAAATCTTCACTAAGATTTGGCCCTAGAATCTGTGAAAGAGCCGCTCTACATGAATTCAGAGAGCTAAAAGAAGACCCCTTATTGAAATGAAATGTTAGAAATTTAAGTACTGCAGAAAACCGACTGGGTGTAAATATTTATTTTTTTCTCGATTGCAATATTCCCACCAAAGCCTCAAGCCCACGTTGTACTGCTTAATTGTGTTATCTGTAGCTGATGCAAGACATATATTTAGCGATTCCGAGGGAACGTCCCCCAACATCAACGCCTGCCTGATACAATTCCTGCCACCAGGGTAGTCTTTCTCCAAAGGGGTTGTGGTGACCTGTTGAAAGACATTAACATCTTGGATGGCCGAAATTTTATTGGATTACATTCTAAAAGCGATGTAAACACAGGATACCATGGTTGAGATGTCCATAGGGGGACGACAAGAATGCCCCTTGCTCCATCGAGAATGATTTTATTCAATACCCGCAAAATTAGTGAAAATGGCGGAAATGCATAAAAATAGAGCTTTCCCCAAATCAACGTGAAAGCATCAATTGCCATACTCTCAGGATCTCTCAACCATGAAACAAAGTTTTTTGCATTTTGCATTAATTCTACTCGCAAACAGGTCAATTTCAGGCTTGCCAAACTGTGCAACTATGTTTTCGAATGCAGATACGTCCAGGGACCACTCCGTCTCGGTTTCCAAACCACGAGATTCCCAAATCTGCTTCCTTATTATCGGCTGATTTTATGTATGCCGCATAAAGGAATAAGTTTCTTGTTTCACACCATTGCCAAATGATGCGCGCCAGACTATTAAATCGCACACTACCCATTTTATTAATGTAGGCCAAGGCTGTGGTGTTATCCACCCGACACAGGATGTTACAATTAGATAGGTTAGCTGCAAAACATTTTAGCCCAAAGAAAACTGCCAACAGTTCTCGATAGTTTATGTGATGTAGTTTTTCAATGTCCGACCAGAACCCGTGCGACTTTTTCCCAAAGCAGCTAATACCCCAGCCAGAGTCTGATGCATCGGAAAAAATTCTATAACAAACGAATCAACTTGAATGGAGTTTTTTGCCTGTGGCAAGTTATTAAACCACCAGTTAAAATCGTGAATAAGTGTTGGGGAAAGTCGCATGATTGCATCAAAATTCCCTCTCGACTTGAGTAATGCTAAGTGTTTTTCCCGTTCGAAGTTTTTTGTGTACAACCATCCGTACTTGATTCCAGGACAGATACTGACTAGTTTCCCCAACAATCTGGCACATTCTCTAATGCTACACTTTTCCACTGATGGCATTTTTTGTACCAGCTGTCTGGATTTTTAAAACTTTTTCATGAGGAATACGAATAGACATATCTATCGAATTATAAATGAATCCAATATATTGAATTGACTGGGATGGGGCTAAAATGGATTTCTCGTAGTTTGGCAGGAAGCCTAATGAAAGTAAGAGGTTTAGGGTCTCCTTAAGATTAGATAGACACTCTTCATGAGTGTTACCAAACAAAAAAAATATCATTCAAGTAAATAACAGATAAAAACCCTTTTGCTCTAAGAAAAATAATAACGGGTTTCATTAATTTTGTAAAAATGTAAGGTGCTATGTTTAGCCCAAAGGGCATACACCTAAATTCATATAGCTGCCCACGAAATTCGAATCTTAAGCATTTCCTGTATTTTTTGTGCACTGATATTAGAAAATACGCATCTTTTAAGTCCACCTTACACATGAAACAGTTCCTGCGGACTAAATTCTTTACGGTGCGACTATCTTCCATCTTAAAATGGCTGCAATGTATATGTCTGATGACATTTTTCAGATTCAGAATGCGACGATTAGAGCCATCGTTTTTTGGCCTGAGAAAATTTTTAGAAATGTACTGCTTATCACTCGCCGAAGCCATGGTAATGGCTCCTGTTAGTAGTAATTTAACTATGCAAACTTGGATAGAAGCTTGATCCTGAAGTGACCATGAGGTAACTGCAAAATTTTGTTGTTTAGGATAATGTCTAAATGGTAACTTTAAACCTTTAACCCAACTAAGGACTAATTTATCCTGACAAACCCTAAGCCAATTGGGGTAAAAATGTTTAAGCCTACCAGCGACACGCACCTCAGAGGTTGGATTCATTGCCAACTGCGATTTGTTCGTCCGCGTTGAGGGTTGTTGTTGCTGCGAAATTCCTGAATTTTGTGTCGCAGTGGTGGCTTGAACCCCGAGTGCTGCTGAGCTTGATATTGGACCCCCTCCCGACGAGTTGCTCGGTGTTGTCAAGATGGGGCCCAGGAGTTTAAAGACTTCTTACGAACCGATTTTGCCGGCTTTGGTTTTATGGTCTTCCCGGACACCTCCAAGCTGTTGGAAGCCTTGAGACGCTCCTCCAAATTTTCGCCGAAAAGCCAGGAGTCCGATGGTATATCTTCGTTAGCCTTTTGGAAATCCTGGTTTAAATTAATCGAAATTAATCCTCTGCGAGTCACCGTTTGTTAATGAAAAACGTCTAGCATTAATCTGCTTGCATCGTTGAGCAATTTGATGTATTTTCGGTTGCCCCCCCTCTTCGGCCAACATTAAGCTAAAAAGTTGGCCCGTAGCGGCTAAACATGCGGCTTTTTGACCCTGTCAACCGAGTGTCCCTTTGTAAATTTGAGGGTGATATCGCCTTGACAACCATCGGGTTAAGTTTTGGGGCCGCCATGTATTGAAAATTTTCGGGGGTAGGATACTTGTTGCAAAGTTCCTTTTTGTCATCTTCAGACAACCCCGCGGCCACAGCTTTTTTCCAACGGGAAACTAAATATTTGTGTAAATTCGGCCCATAAATGAATGTGTTGGTATCAGGTGTGCCCAGGATTTCGACGACATCTTCTGAGAGCTCGACACCAGGAGGAGGGGCGTCTCCTTGCCCCGGGAGAAACATTTTTATTCCACCTGGATGTGTTAGTATATCATCAACCCTAATGTGACACGTTTTCCCAACTTGACCAGAAACTGTGAAGAGCGGGATAAACGGAAGGTATGCTCATTGATACCTTATCATCCAGCCAAAAACAAAAAGGTACTCTCCTCTCATCGATACCCGGCAAAATACGTAAGTACACTCATTGGTACCAGGCGACATAATTGGGTACACTCATTGGTACCAGACGAAATAAATAGGTACCCTCATCGATACCTGCTTAGAGAATGGGTATACTTCCTTGATACCCTGAAGTACGAAAAAAGGTTCGAATGTTACTCACCAGCCGAAGGTAAACAAATCGGTGAAACCGTGCAATTTGAAGCGTGGCCCCCGGACCGATCCATTATACTCGAACCAGGGGGAGTCCTTGATCTAGATGACAGAGAGGACTCCGACGACTGAGGCGATGAAGACAAAGACAACACTACTCTCCGATGTCGTTTCCGTACTGGGCTTCAGCTGCGGCGATCTTCAATTTTCCGCAATCTCTTAGTAATGTCTTGAAGACAATTCATTACATCACCCATATTTCTTGCATTTTCCGAGCTAGATTCGCGTGAAAGGCTGCGGTGCCTTCGCTTAATTGATTTTTTGGGCATGACACCCACAATTTGAAAAAATCCCGGCACTAAGGTATGCACTAACCGGGAACGAACTGCTCGATTCGACACACAAACAAAGTATGAGCGTTCGACGGAGTGGTGGTAAGGACAGGACTGTATCCAGGGTGAGAAAATTTGCTTTGAACTGTGTGAGATTTGACTGCAAGCAGAGCTACTACACTTATCCTTATTTATGAAGGCGACGCACAATATAATAAAACTATGTGGTATTTAAAGGCATAAACTAATAATTGGGGCTTAAATACTGGATTTGGTAGAGGAAGACAACAAACAAATTACTTGCTCCCTAAATTACTAACAAATAAAAAAATCACCTCAGATTTTAGGTCTGTCGTAGATCTTATTATTATGTCATTATTTAAAGACAATCGTGTTTTTTCGGCGTTCTCAACTTCGGGATCCCAATTAATGCTCTGTCTGTCTGCTTTATCTCTCTCTCTGTAACCTGACGTCACCGATATATCATCATGGTCACTCCTAAAAAGTATACTGTGCTAGAAATTTTGAAAAGTTTTATGACAGAAGGAAGGGAGATGGAGAAAAACACAAGGTTTGCGATATGAATATATTATACATCATTTGAAAGACATATCCATGTAGACTAAGAAATACCATCGCGATTTCTCCAACTAAGTGGCGGGTCGGAGCATTTTCACCTCGAAGGTTAGTAATTTTCATAGAATGTCAATATCGCTGCCTATGGAACTAGATTTTATATCATTCTGTAATTCCGTAATTTCTGTTTGTTAGTTACTCAGACTAAAATAAATTTTAGTATTTATTCGAACCTGGGTCGCACCTAAGTTGCCATCCAGAGGGTATGTGAATATCTCCCGACTTCTTGGTCTCAACAATATTTCGCAGTGCGGTGTGTGAACAGCCCTTGAAATAACCTTGAAAGAGCTCGTCTTAGTCGTCTTTTCTATATATCGTCCATGTGACGGTCAAAACGACGCGTTTTTTTGAGAAACTTCAAATAATTCTAGATATGATTAGTAATGAAAAAAAGAAATGTGTCATAGCCGGAGATTTTAATATAAATCTGTTGGTGACAAATAGGAAATCATCAGATTTTACTGACAATTCATTCCTACGGTTTGAAAGCAACTATTACCGATTTCACTAGAGTAAAGAAAGACTCCAAATCATGTTTGGACAATATTTTCATTAACACAGATGTGAACTTTCAGTCTAAGATTATTGATACACTTTTTTCTGTCCGTAAAGGGCAACATACCCCCTTTTCACTCAGTACCAATATCGATCATGAATCCAAACTGATTAGAGTGTTTTCTAACCCATATATAACTACAAGATCTAAGATCAGCATCATGGAACGAAATTTATAGTAGTGTCAACGTAAACAAAAAGTGGGACATATTTTCTCAGATAATACAAAGCAGTTTCAATTACTATTTTCCTCTGAGGACAAAAAAGCGAGCTGCGGGAAGTAAGAAACCTCCTTGGATTACCACAGAATTGGATCGACTCAGGAACAGGGTGAGTGCTGTTCAAATGATTTCCCAAAACGACATAAAATATAAAGATGTTTTTAAAAATTATAATCAGACATATGAGAAACTCTTAAAAGATTCAAAATCGCAATACTATTTAAACAAAGTAAATAATCATGGCAATAGAAGTAAAGGAATTCGGAATACAGTACGAGAATTAACTACCACACCCAATGCGTCGTCAGATCAGTTTGTTTTACCGGTACATAATGATGTAAATGCTTTAGCAAACCATTTCAATAAAAGCTTTATCGAAGCTGCTCCAAAACTCCTCTCAAAACTACCAAATTTGAATTATAACTGCAACCTAGAACTAAAAAATAAAACAATATTTTTAACTCCAATAGATCATGACGAATTGCTCAGAATTGTATGCAACCTAAAAAACATAAAAAGTTGTGGTGATGACAACGTCCCAATTTTCATCATTAAAAAAATTATAACCATAATATCTGACCCTCTTCTTAATATCCTAAATACATCTCTTAGTGAAGGAGAATTCACAGAAGCATTAAAAATTGCACTCGTATTACCAATCTATAAAAAAGGCGATCCTGATGATATGGACAACTACCGTGCTACTGATAAATTTTTCAAAAATCTTTGAAATTGCTTATAACAACCGTCTTATTAATTTTTTCCACTCAAATAAATACTTCACCAATAACCAACATGGCTTCATGAAAGGTAGAGGTGTGAACACGGCACTGTTCGATTTCACCACAGCAATCCATGAATATCGAGAGAATCAAGGAGCAGCATGCGGTTTATTTGTGGACCTTTCAAAAGCATTTGATTGCATTGATCACGAAATATTGCTAAACAAATTATATAAATATGGTATACGCGGCAATGCGTACTACTGGCTTAAATCTTATCTCTGTAATAGAAGACAGAAAGTAATTTTGAACAAAACCGGGAAACGAATAACATCTAGCCCTCGGACATATAGTACTGGTGTTCCTCAAGGCAGTACACTGGGCCCAACATTGTTCATTATTTATATTAATGATATATCCACCACCACGAAAAACACGCAAAATCTAAGTTTCATCTATGCAAATGATATAACTATTCTGATACCATATAAAGGAACGTCTGATATCCGAATCTTGATAGAGACACAAATAAACCATATTCAAAACTGGCTGCAGATGAATAAGTTAGCATTCAACATACAAAAAACGTGTTGTGTCCTATTTCAGTCAAGCCATGCCACCAAAGAACTACCCTTAATTAATGAACCTCTATGTATCAAAAGCGATACAAACCTCCTAGGTGTCACCTACGATAGCTGTCTTAAGTTTGATAAGCACATTGAGAGTATGGCTCCAAAACTCAATCAAGCATGCTATGCACTACGAGCACTCACTTGTCACCTGCCCTTGCAAGCTGTGCAGGCTGCTTACTATGGGCTTGCGTATTCTACGTATCATGTCTTATCAAATAACAATTTGGGGTAATAATCCCGCAGCCAATAGAATTTTTATCATACAAAAGAGGATAATAAGAACCATGTTCAAAATGAAACCTAGAGAGTCATGTAGAAGTATATTTAAAGTCAACCGCCTATTAACATTACCGGAAATTTATATCTATAACACTCTACTATTTATCTTTAGCCATAAAGAAAAGTTTGGAAAAAACGTCTTCAACCATAGTTACAATACTCGCAAAAGTCAGAAATACTTCTACCCATCACATAAGCTAAATTCTACCGAAAAATGTCCACATTACTCTGCACTGAAACTTTACACTGCTTTACCTCGACATCTTCAATCCATTTCAGCATTCACTATATTCAAAAAAGCATTCATAAATATATATGCGATATGGAACCATATAGTATTGAAAGAGTTCTGTGCTCTAGTGAAACCGTAAGCATTAATATCGCTGTTGTTGTATGTTTGTTTTGTATGTACTTTAGAAAAATTGTGTGTTATTTACACTGTATCGCAATGACGTGTTATCTCTGTTATAAATTTCTTTGTTTTTTGTTTATAACTGAGAAACCAATAAATTTCTATTCTATTCTATTTCATGAATGGGATACTGCCGTTTCAATACATACACATTTTATATCTTTTGCACTTATCGCGTACTGTATTTCTCCTCTAAAATAGTTTCTATTAAAATATTAAGCTTTTTTATTTTTTTGACAAAAAGTACCAAGCCTAATAGGTATGCAAGGATACAAGAGGAACGTGTATTCCAAAATGTTTTAACCAATGTTAGTCTTAAATTCACCATTGGTTTGGTACTTGAACAATTTCCAAAATATCCAGGTCAAAAATATATACCGCCCTCTGGGAAAACTGACTCAAATTTAACTAACATCAGTTGAGTTATTCGAGCACTAATAATTGATAAACTTCAAAAATATGTATACTTCTTGATTTATGGAATATTTTTTTTCAATATATCTTCTGTTTACTCTATAGATAATTATTTATTTTCTTTATGCTACGCTCAAGGCTTTTGCTTTTATGACGTATTTACTTATTTATCTGATCTTACAAATATTTTTGCAGGCTGCAATATTTTTTATACAATGATAAATTAATACTTGAGTAAAACCACTATAAAATCAGATTAGTGTACAAGTTTTCGAGATATTTAATAAATATCATTTTTTTGTAATTTTTTGGGCGAAGTATATTTCAAAAACGATACCTCTGTTTTACTTTTATCAAACAAAAAAAGTCACCCGTCAGAATGTCTTCAAGTAAGTTTACACTCCACTTCCCATGCAACGGTGTCATCAGTTCATAAAGGGTTATGTTCGGCACAAGTTAGTCCCTCTGAGAACAATTTTAGTTAAGGACATGTATGAAAAACGTTGAATGGGTCAAGTCAGTCAAACAGACCTATACAACTAGTCCATAGTCCCCACCCATTTGACAACTCTGTGACCTAGAAATTGCTCCACTGCCATACCGAGAGTATCGACTATCTAACAACATTGCTAAACCACTTCAGTCAGCCACAAGCCAGCGCTAGCGATGAGTCGTTAGACGCAGTCAGAGTTTTGTGTAGGTACCTACGATACGCGAGGTGTCTGTTGAAAATATGTCTCTATTAGCATCTTTTTAAGCTTATAAATATAATTCCGCCAAAAATTGTAATATAGCCTCCTTCACCCCCTCCAGCCCACAAGCTACAAGACGTATGATCGGGCGGCCCTGAAAGTTTGAGCGATTTTTATTTTTTTCGTTTTCTGTCAATACCCTCACCGTCACCGTATCGATTTGCAAAAACTGCAAATCTTTTTTGTCCTTGTCATAGTAGCAACCAAAATCCGAGCGGTACTTTCAAGAGCAGACAGACAGGCAGACCAGCGGAAATGAAAGGTATTGTTTTTCCTGATGTACTAAACATGCCATGTAACATCCAAGAAATGAAAAATCTCATTTTCGATTTTATTCGCGCCGCTGGCGTATAAAGTAAAAAACAGGATTATTAGACTCTGGTATATTTTAAAAATGCATGACAAAATACAACATTTACGTTATGTTCTGTATACCCAATTTGTCCAAACGCTTGTCTAATACATATCCGGTATTGGGCTAAATACACCTAAAAATCAATCAACGACAATGGCAAAGTAGCTATCGTAACACTGAAGGCGCAGGGCTTGGAGGGGAGACAGGGGAGCATGTGATCCGCCTTCAGGTACAAGTTTGAACTCGCTCGAGACATTTGTCGGTAGCTATTTTTTTTGTGGAACAGTTTTCTTTATTGAATTCTAAAAATGACTGACATCAATTTCAAGCACCGGTGTGATATCAGGTTTAGCTTCAGACTTGGGCACAGTGCAACAGAAAAACAGAAACACTTGCTAAACAGGCTTACCCAGATAGTATTTTTTCAAGACCCAGTTTTTTTGGTGGTTTAAGACATTTTCAGAAGGGAGAGGGTCGATTGAAGATGAACCACGAAGCGGAAGGCCTTCATCTTCAAGAACTGATAAAAATATCTACGGAATCCGGGATGTTGTGCGTTCAGATCGTCTGTTGACAGTCAGAATGATCAGAGAACAGTTAAATTTGACTCACACCACCGTTCATCAGATCAATAACAACTGGGTGTTGCACTACAATAATGCTCCTTGTCACACAGCAATGTCAATAAACGAGTCTTTGGCCAATAAAAACATTCCTGTGGCACCTCAGCCTCCTTATTCACCTGACTTGAGTTCTTGTGTTTTTTTTTCTTTCCGAAGTTGGAAAATTATCTCAAAGGAACTCATTTTAGGACAGTCGAAAACATTCAAACGGCTGTAACCCACCAGCTGAAGACCATTCCACTATCAGAGTTCCAGCACTGCTATGAGAAGTAGAAGAACAGCCTCCAGCGCTTCAGAAGGAAATTATTTTGAAGGTGACAATATAAATTTTGTAATTATATTTAAACAAAAAAAATAAAAAATCAATCTCATCACTTAATTTACAGACCTCGTATATTCAAAACAGATAATGAATTTGCGCTTTTCAGCTTTTTTTATTTGAAAAGGTCTATCCAACGGTGTATCACTTATACTGCTGGTCTGAGTACCAATATTTCAAAATAGAAAACAGCATCAGCCATCAGCACTGCGAATGGAAACTGCTAGCTGAGGAATCATCACGATAATTTGAGCCAAAGGCGATGTATGCCTGTGCAATAGAATATGCGGGAGTTGAGCTCTTGCTTTGCTCAGCTGTGTATTATATACTAAGTGACATATAAATCCGAACACCCAGTTTAAATGGTTTTATTTTAATAAAATTTTGTATAAGTACTAAATGAAGCATAATAAGTAAATGATAAAAATTTCAAAATGATTGCACTGCTTTAATTTTGACCTTTAATAATGTGTGGATGCACCCTGATGTGCTACGCATTCTCTAACGCGCCTAGGCATGCTTCTGATCAGGTGGTCAATGTCCTCCTGTGGTATCTCATTCCAGGCAACCACCAACTCCTCTCGAAGTGCTTCTAGAGTCTGAGGAGGACGTTGCAAATTGAGCAATCTCCTACCCATCATATCCCACACGTGCTCAATTGGGGATAAGTCGGGAGATCTTGGTGGCCATGGTAACAATGTGACATCATTATGTTGAAAGAAGTCTATTGTGACTCTTGCAACATGTGGTCGGGCATTATCTTGTTGGAAAGTTGGATCTGCCAGGGTGTCAAGATAGGGTAAAAGATGGGGTTCTAGAACTTCGTGGATATAACGCTGCGCGTTCATGTTACCTCTGATGGAGATTAAAGGTGACCTGGAACCATAGGCTATAGCACCCCAAACCATAACTCCAACAGTGTGATGAACATGTCTTTCAACAAAAAACTGTGGATTCCTCCTTTCACCACGTCGCCTTCTAACACTGGCACGACCATCGTCACTAAAGACAATACTGTTCCATTCCTGATCCCAGAGTGACCGTTGTCTGCACCACTCAAGGCGATTACGTCGGTGTTCTCGAGTTAAAGGGAGGACCCAGTGTGGCCGGTATGAAAACAAGCCAAAACTTCTCATTCGTCGCTAAACACTTCGCATGCCAATAGGTCTTCCGTGTTCTGCAAACCATTCATTTGCAATGGACCTGGTAGTGGAGAAACGGTCCCTTAAGGCCAATAATCTTAGGCGGCGATCTTCACGGTCTGTTGTTCTACGGCGGCGTCCAGTGCCCCTTGCTCTTTGCGTACGGCCTTCTCGAAGCCATGCCTGACAACACCTAACCACAGTGTCTACACTTCTTTGCACTCTAAATGCAATTGCCCGAAAAGAAAGTCCAGCTTCCCGAAGTCCCACTATACGGCCCCTATCAAACTCACTAAGTTGACGAAATCGTACAGGTCTCCGTACTCTAGGCATCGTAACCGATCGTAAAGGATCTCAAGAACCAAAATCCGCCAACGTTGATTCTTTACTGCGGCTGAAATATTCATTTTTAGAGCATTAGTGAATTAAAAAAAAGCAGTATAAAAACCGGAATATCCAACTGATAAGGCTGAAAATTTTGTCACTTATTTACAGTAAGATAAATACATTCACCAACTTTTATTAAAATAAAACCATTTAAACTGGGTGTTCGGATTTATATGTCACTTAGTATATCTCTATCCAACGATATAACCACACAACACGGAATATGTTTCTTCGAGATACCTTCATTCCAATTTCACGTCTCTCTTGTATCGTCGGTCAAATTGTTAACGCCTTTGACCAAACTTTATAGAGATGCGAATCAACTGCTAAATGGTGAAATTTATTTAATATTTAATTGTTTATTTACACGAGTTAAGGTGTCGCTTGCATCCTTATAATACAGCACTTATTGTGGTGCACATCTTTAGCTTTGGATTAATCAATTCATAGTATTGAGCAATAGCGCTTAGGTATCGATATTGAAAAAATTATAATAGGAAAAGATTACCTTAAAAATTCCGTGATCAGGATTGAGTGTGGCCTTTCCTCTGACGATGCTGACATTTGCTGTTCTAGTAACTGCAGATCTGTTTTAAGCTCTGAACCACCTTGCGTTTTTTCCTTGATCTTCCCGATATCTTGGCCCATAACTGAAGAAATATTTCAGATGAATAAATGTCAAGAATCCAAGTTAAGACCGATGCTTGGAAGGAGGAGCAAGATCTCCTTGAAGAATAAAATGCTGCTGATCAAGATGGTGCTCCTACCGATTCTGACCTACGCGTCCGTTACTTGGGGCTACGCAGCCAAGACGTGGAAGAAGAAGCTCCAAGCACAACACAATACAGCACTCCGAGAAGCGGTCAACACACCATGATACGTGCCAAATCGAGTGCTATATGAAGACCTAGGACAAGTGTGAGTGTTGGAAGTAATGAATATCAGAGCGCAGCAGTTCTTCAATAACACCGAAGACCACGAGAACCAGCTCATCAAGGCAGCCCTGGACTACGATTCAAGATTCGTACACAGGCACAAAAAAACCGAAAAGCCAGCTGCTAGAAGACTAGGGACACAGCAGCTGATGAGTCCTAAAGAAGAGGGGTAGAACCTCGCGAGGAAGGTACTGCAAGCAAGAGAGGCGAAACCCTGCGCAGTACCGCTGGTCAGACGGCGAAGATTTGTCATGCTGAACACACCGATCTCATTTGAGGTGCGGGGTATTCAGATGGCACTAATAAGCAGACCTGCTGGCGACGTCGACCTTTGTCGAGGTGGTCAGGAGGCAACTCAAGAAAGAAGATAAACAAACCAAAAAGCCCAATAGCCATCTTGGGAGACCTTAACGTGAACTTCAGGTCTAGGTCCCACCGATGAAACCCCAAATAGAGGACGACTCGTAAAACCAAAATGGAAGGTACACGAGTATAAATTAATGACCACTGCCGTTCACCAGCCGTGCATCCGCGTCGGGATTAGCTTACACTACTTTTCGACTGGGCAAAATTCCAAGGGAGGGACAACGCGAAATTCCAAAGGGCAGGACAGGAACACAGGTTGCAGGAGCGTCCAGCTTACGTACCGCCCCTTGGGCCGGAAAGAGTGACGGTACCTGGACTGGGGTGGTGGTGGATCGCCTAGGAAACCGTGTTCGGGGGCCAGATCACACTGCCAGTCTTCTAGTTATAGTCGCTGAATCGTTGGATAGGTTGCTATCTGCAACTTATGGAACACGATTTGCACACTAACTAGTTGCTTACCTCACGGTGTGAGGAGTGGCTAGTTGTTAATGGAGCAGCAGCTTGGTGTCTTGGAGCCCAGGTTGCCTATTTTATTTTACTTTTTCCTATAATAATAATATCCGTGTGAGATTTTGGAGAAAGAATGGCTCCCAGGATACACTCTGCCTGCCGTACGAGACGACTAAACGAGTAGCCCTGGCAGGTTAGGGCATTGTAGCCAGCAGTGTCAAGCAAGTAATAAGAACCGGGAAGGACGGTACAGACAGCGACTCTTCATTGCGCATGTGCACAACAGAAAAGTGTGTAAGACACATATGTTAGGAAGAGATAGAACCCGGCTGTATAGCGAAGCTCATCACCGCGTTGCCGGCAACGCTGACGCGGCAATCTGCCACGTTGCCGATATGTTACACCAATTTCTTTAATTAAGATGCATGTTGAACATATGCGTTAGTTTATTCTCCTCGCCCAAATAATGGTTTTATTATGAGCGTAAACATTTTTGAATTGTGAATTGTAAAGGTCAGTCAAATTCTGCAACATTGCATCATTGGTTCACTTGGCAACACCCCATCTCGTACATTCCAAGGCAAGATTTCCACCTCCATGATCATAGATGAGCGACTTTGGTCAGAACTCATCTGGCACTTATTAGAGAGTGTCGTCCTGCCTCGAAATTGTTTTCACCTGCGTACACGCAGACAGTTATAATTTGTATTGCGTAATAGTATTTGTTACATTTTCCGACCGCTCGCTGTCGCAAACTGTAACAATCACTAAATATAAAAATCGATATAGGAGCAAAAACATAGACATTAAATAGATACATGAAACCGGGTAACAACTATTATTTTCACAATAAGACCTTTAACTCTGATGAAAAAATCTATGGACAAATTAATGGACAAATAACTTTTATCAATGGGCCACCAAGACCAGATAATATTGCTAGCTTTTGGAAAGGTATGTACCAAAATAAAGTTTGTTTTAATATCAACATAATGAGGGGATAAGGCAAGAAGAAAGCAAACACAAGGTTAACAACAGCAGAAATAATCACAATAGCAAAAGGCACAAATAACTGGGGCCGGGGCCAGATAAGCTGCATTGTTCGACAAAAAATTGATAACTTTGTTTTTTAGTCATCTCAATACACACCATGAAATAATCCGATGAAAAGAATTTAGAATACTGCTCCAAACAGGCAGTTGAAAAAAGGGGCATTCGACCTTAGAAATACCTTCATCGTTTTCCGTTGAAATTGCCGCTGCCGCGTGTGGTGGGACAATCAAATTGTAGGAATGCCCGATTTTTTGCGATGATTTATTGCTTCTTCAGACTTCATGATTATTTCTAGATTATTTCGAAAGTGATCGTAAGCGTTCTCAATAAAAATGAACTATTATAGAGCGTTCATATAATTTAGCAGTAGTAGCAGCTCAGTTAGCTATAATACTGTCATAATATGTTCTGTATAACGTCATTTGTAGCTTCAGAAGCAACTTTTAGGAAAATGCTGAAATTTGTTTGTTAGCTAACATTACTAATTTCAAACTGTCCAATTCATTACTTCCATGATATTGAGTGGTTTTTGAATAGATACTGGATATAGTGTCCTTTTTGAGTTATTGTTTCCTGACACAATGGCTGGACGATATTCATGAGATACTCATGGCTGCACTGCCATTGAAAGCCCGCCTTCAGAGATTGTAATTTATTGCTCTATAGAGTTAGAGGAAAAGGCGATATTGCCATATTGTGGAAAACCAACCCATAGATACTCATAAATACTTGGTAGGCTAAAAAACGCCAAAGGAAATATTACAAAACTTGCTTTGAATGTCCTTTGAGGTGAAACAAGGGGTAGCCGTTTGGTAATTTTTGAATTCAAATTTGTCTAAAGAGCTTTTTACTTAATTGATTGTAAAAAATGTTTCTTTCTATTTCTATGTTTTATAGATTCTGAATAAAAAAACCTCTAGTAACTTTTCTCTAATGTTTACTGTTCTCGAGTTATAAACGATTTAACATCAGACAACCCCTAAAAATGTGAATATTCAGTGCTTGAAAACTCCGTTAAAATTATGATTTTTGAGGTTGTCAAATCTAAAGTTCAAATCTTGATCTGCTCCCAAAGAGTATTTTGAGATTAATTTATTTTTGAGCGACTCTTAAACTTGTTTGTTAGGCCAAAATTCGCGAACTTTTGGTTTTTGGCGGACTGTACATGTACATCCAAGAAACATAATATCTCATTTTCGAAATCACAAAACAACGTCAGTAGGGAGGTAAAAATTAGTAAAGTTCAAACCTACTTTCCTTGGACTGCGCCAAGCACTCCATGTCCAACATCAAGAAATGGTACTTGTCATTACTGGGCGGGTATCCATGCGACTTCACCAAGTATGGTACGTACTCAGCTTTTGGATCGAAATCGTCCTCTTCTAGCCTTCTTGGTACTTTGTCCGACAAGTACTGCTGCTGATATTGAATGATAATGTCCGGTTCCAGGACGCACAGTTGCTTCAATTCCGGCATCGCACAACCATGGCTACGACAGCATTCACGACATTTTCGGAACCGTTCTAAACAAATATTCATTTTTTTAGACCACAAATACAGGTTCTGAAAGTTGGGTCTTTCCTTTTCAGGGGCAGTTGTGCTTAAAATGACAAAGCCAATGTGCAGTGAAACACCGCACCGGTGAAAAAGTGACAGAACATGAAGTTAATTTTGTAAGGAATTCCAAGTTCCTACAGTACTGTTTATGATACTCAGAAATTGTCGCCGTTCGCTTCCAAAAACACAAATTTGTGCTTGAAGTTTGAACATTCGGAGTTGTCTAGGTTTTTCACTAGCTTTTTAATCGAGACAAATAAACATATGCCTCACATAATGTAAATGCCCTGGAAAACGTGCATTTTGAAAACACTCGCCCAATACTAACGTAATATTGACAAATTCGTTGTTGCTATACGAGCCCCTTCCAACTTCAGTTGGCCCAACTATTGAAATCTTAGTTTTTTCTTATCAAACACAAATAATAAAAATGTAGCAGGGTGTTATAGGTTTAAAATATTAACAATGAATATTTTGATAATATATAGTAGAAAACACCAACTTTATCACTCCCTAATAAAATTTGCAGCATAAAAATAACACATGTTGGAATTACAGCATATCAACCTATTTTCATTTCAATGCAAAATAAGTCTATAACGCATAGGTGGCTGTGAAAAATAAAATCCATGACAATTGTTTTTATTAATCACAGCTGTCAGAATGCGTTTAAAATAGTTTTGGGTAGTTAAGGTTTTCAAAATGAGTAGAGGAAAGGTTATTAGTGCGAAAATTCGGTTACTGATAATTAAATTTTTTAATTCTGGGAAATCAAACTCAGAAATTGCAACTTTGTTAGACTTATCGCGGTACAGTGTGAGAAATATTGTAAGAAGATATAACGTAACTGTTTCAGTTAATATTAAGCCACGACATATGAAAAAAGTAATATCACAGATGCCGACCGAAGAGCATTAGGAAGAATAATCGTGAAAAACAGGCGTGTCAATTATTTACAATTAAGTGTTCTGTGGAGTGACGCTGTTGGAAGGAGAATTTCGAGGTCCACAACTCATAGAGAGGCCCACAAACTGGGATTTAGCACTTGCAAGGTAAGTTTTCTTATAAAAAAAAGTGAAGTAAAAACCCTAAAGTTGCACAACTTGTTTATAGGCCAAAGAAAAGCCACTATTAACTCCACTGCAAAAGAAAAATCGGCTTAGATGGGATAAAGAACATAGACAATGGACACCTCAACAATGGTGTGCAATACAATGGAGTGATGAGGCCCGATTCGAAGTTTGTGTTGGTGACAGTCGCAGTAGAGTTATTCGCAAAAAAAAATGAAGCATTCCATGTTGACTGTCTGAAGAGAAAAGTGAAATTTCCAGCATCCATTATGGTCTGGGGCAGTATGTCATCAAAAGGAGTAAGAAAACTTCATTTTATTGATGGAAATGTGGATACAAACAAATATTTGGCAATTTTAGAAGAATCGCTTTTACCAGTGATGGAAGAATGTTTGACATCAGGCCAAGATTTTGTGTTTCAGCAAGATGGTGCAGCGTGCCATACCTCAAAAAAGGCTATAAAATGGATAGAAGAAAATAATGTACCACTTTTGAAATGGGTTTCTAGCAGTCCAGATCTGTCACCTATTGAAACTTTGAGGCACGAGATGAAAAAGGTTCTACGACAACATCCTGCTCGTACAATCACCGAACTGAGACAAAAGCTTCAAGAAATATGGGATTGTTTTACACCAAATTTTTGCCAAAACTTGGTTAACACTATGCCCCAACGAATTTCAGCCGTAATAAAAAATAAAGGTGATGTTACCCAATGGTAATCTTTCAATTGTTGCTTTGTTAACTTCGCGCATTTATTCGCACATTGTTTATTTGTTCAGATGTTCTATTAGTTATAGGTCTAAGTGATTTCAAATATGTATTTTTTACGACTAGAGTGTATCTAAAATGTTTTTGAGAAAATAAATTGTTTTAGAAGTAAACTGTTTCGTCATGTTTAGTTTATAAAGGCATATTTTGGTACAAATCTTGAAGTGGACCAACTGAAGTGGGAACGGGCTCGTAGATGTTATTGTGCTATTTTCAGTTTTCTCAAATCCATTTCGTGAACAATCAGCACAGTTTTCCTGCACAACGGTTAAATGCTGAGACCGCCGAGTCTTATTGCGTCATTGGCTGGAGAAAGGTTTGGGTTCACATCACTAATTTCAACGTCGACTCGACTTTAACCCACAAGATTCGGTATTCATGAGTAAAAGTTACTTACCTGATTGTAATCTAGAAGCACTTGCAATCGTATCTCCGACGTCGCTTGCAGGTGTGCCTGAAGTTGCTTTAGAAACCTAAAGATGCATTTGAATACCAGTTTGACATAGATAAAACGGCTCACCTTATCTTTAGCACCAACACAACTTTTCTTTATATAGAATGGGCCAGTAAGTAATACATAGTCACTTCTTTTGTCATTGCGACTCAACTTATACTTCAAAGCACTGCCACACTCTCCTTTGAGGCTATTACCGACCTTTTGCTCAACACTTGGGCAATGACATTTGGGAACTTCCCTTGTTGATATTTCTTGTTCATCAGTTTTAATTGTAATACTTCTGTAGTTAGATATAGGCGTTGATGTGTTTGTGCCAAGGTGGCATGTATACTTCGGTTTTGACTGGCTCTGGTTTACATCAACTGAACGATGACACTTATCTAGCGGCATCATTCCTTCTGAATAAACGAAGTCATTTGTTGAGCAGGTGTTCATACTTAGTGGAGGTTTTTCAAAAGTATGTGAAGTACATTCTTTTGTGGACGTATCCGAAACTGACTCGGATATGCTGACTGAAATTACTTCGTACAGTTCTGTCTGGATTTCCGCAGAGTTTATACGTTGGCTTTTCGTAGATGATTTTTCCTGGAGTACAGTAGGTACGCATGAAGAGCAACATGACTTGCTTGTGACTTGCTTTTCCTCCATCATGTGTCTCTCTCTACCAGCACATTCTGAACAGCACGAAAAAAGGTCTTCCTCAATTTTATGTTTACTTGAAACGAGATCATATCCACCGCAAGTACATGTAACTTCTTCGTTCGTTGATTGTTTGAAGATTGGTATTATATTCTTAGCTTTAACGTTGTTCGAATTTTGTTCATGTTCTTCGTTGGAATGCTTACAGCCAGAACAGTTATCATCTCCTTGTGATGTTTGACTTGACTTAACTTTATTTCTAGCTAAAGTAATACTTTGTTCAAGCCTTAAACAGCTCTCACATAAAATGTTGTCGCTATAGATACATTCCAAGTATTGCTCCTCTTGTTGACGATTTTGTTTGGCGTAACTTTGCTTTTGACAAGTCTCACAGTACTCGTTGTCATGCGAGTCTTTTTTAAATGAAGCGTCATCGACGTCACTGGATTGTGAGGTACCTTGCCCAAGAATTGGACAATCTTTCACATTGCAACTTATTAGTGATTCAGCAGACGGCTTAGCAGTATTTTTGTCTTTTTCGTATGCATTGAATATCGTTGACAATGTCTTACTTTTGGAGGATTGTGGGTGGCCAAAATACTCATGAATCGTTATCTTATTTGATTTATAGCCTCCACAATTTTCACATATGCTGTATTTTGCATTTGAGCTCTTTGTGTTTTTTATACTTGACTTGGACAAAATTGTACAACAGCTCTTAAAATCCGATTTTGACTTCATTTTTTCTTCATTCTGTATATTTTGCACCTTTGATATTTGAGATTTTTTTTTCGATGAGCTCTTATTAAATACGCTGGAGCCTAAGGTCATCTTTTCTAAATTTGGGCAATTGGTGTCCGTGCAGTATGATGAATTAGCAGTCATGGTAGTATTCAAGTTCTTTCCACTATTTGCTAACACAGATTTTATATTTGTTGATTGGGACTGACTAAGACATTCATCAATTGTTTCCTGATTTGGCTTACAGTCCCCAAAATTTCTTCTATTACAATCGTCATATATACTACACTTCACAATCATGTTACTTGGATTATTTAAAATTGTGCGGCAATTTTTAGAAACTGATTTCGATTTTAATTTTTCTGCAGTTTGTGCGCAGACTCCTTCACAGGAGATTCTTATACATAAATTTTCTGTTTGGAAATTCCTTTTGGAGTATATTTCACATTGTATTTCCTTGTCGTTAGTACACTCTATGCGACCTTCATTCTCTTTAAAGCTGTTATGCCCTTTTACGAGATTTTTATAGGTTGATTTGTCGCAGCAAATGGAACAACTACTGGTTACATTATTTTTGTCAGTAATGCAATTATTATCAAAACTTAGATGCTTACATGTTTCACAATCTAGCTCATACACCATTCTGGTATTATTTTTTTCACAACTTACAATCTCTAAGCAACGTTCGCACTGTATTTTGGCGATATGTTTACATGGTAAGCAGTGAACCTCTTCTGATGGATGAAAGTCATCTTTATATTGTTCACATACTTCTACTTGTAATTCAGATACCTTTGACTTAGTATCACTACAATTCCGACAATCTGTTAGTGCGCAAATTTTACCTATGCATCCATGTTTCACATTAGTACCAATATCTTCACAGTTTTGACACCTATTTGGTGCGCATTTTTCACCCATACATTTGTCGCATTTTATAATCTTGTCACTTTCTATATCTATTTTAGATTCTTTGCCATCATTTTTACAGCTTCTACAGTCCACCGGTGCACACCTTTTACCTATGCACTGATCGCATTTAGTAGTTTCATCTATTTTACCGCCAATTGCTTTATTATCGTGCTTACTGGCGATACTGAGATAACTTTCACATAAAATTTCATTTGCATTTGAGCATTCAACATAACGGATTTCATTAGCAGATTTATTTTCAGCTATCGTTTGTTGATAGTAAACACAAATTGAGCTGATTTGCATAATCTTGTGCTTATTATCACATTCGCAGCATTGCGATTGACAAATTTCTTCAACAAATCGTCTTTTAGTTGATGGGAGTTCGGATTTCCTTAAACAACTTTCACAATCAATTTTACCAGGATTAGAGAATTTGACACAATGCAACTCTACAGTTATAATGCTCTCTTTGTCGCAAGGTGCACAAATTGGTAGAGAATGTATTTGATCATAGCACACAGCTGACGTCAGTCGCTCACCTTCGCATGCACACTCGTTTATAGAAACTTGCGTTGCTACAGGAGCCTTGATCGTTTTATATTGTCTTTCTTCGTTAAATGCGTCACAAGTAAACATGTCGTCTTGGTATACACAGCAAGTACAGCCATCTTTGCAATTCAGCACTTTTAATGTTGTTTGAGATCTATTGATGTCTTCAATGGTCCTACTGAAGCAGCCTCCACATACGACTTTATCAGTACCATTTACCAGGTCAGTAGTATCGATTCCTTTACAACGTTCGCATTTACAGTCTTCTTCCTTTAAAGGAATTTTTGATTTTTGTGATGTAGTTTGAGAACCAGAAAATGTTTTGCTTTCAACATTTCTTAAGCAATTTTCGCATTCAGTTTTAGTAGGCTCGGCACACTCGATACAGTGTTGCTCCAAAGCAGCGATCATATCTTTAAGTGATGCGTGACACGACTCACAAGCTGCACGAATCGTTGCACTACTTGGATTACTAGCTTGTTTAACTCGATTGCTCTTAATTAAGCAATTTTCACATTGGGTTTGGGCGAGCTTAGCACACTCAACATAATGATGTTCCATAGCTGTTGCACACATCATTACAGCTTGACTTGGTTTAGTTTCTTGCTTATTCTTATCCAAACAAGTTTCACATACGGTTTTCTCCTCTTCCGAGCATTCAACGCAATGTAGTTGTTTAGCTACAATACTCTCTTCTAATGATGGGTAACATGGCTCACAACCTTTACAAATCATCAAATCTTCTTTTCGCTTAGATTCTTCCATCTTGTGCAAGCAACCTTCGCATTCAATCTTATCATTTTCCGAAAACTCAACGCAAAACAGTCCTTTCGCTGCAAAGGTTTCTCGTGCTGATGCATGGCATGGTTCGCAGCTTGCACTTGTCATTAAATCTTCTTCGAGTTTTGTTTCTTCACCCTTGTTCAAGCAAGTTTCACATTTGATCTTGTCATGTTCAGAGCAATCAACGCTATGCGCTCCTTTAGCTGCAAAGGTTTCTTGTGCTGATCCGTTGCATGGTCCGCAGCTGACAAGCAACCTCAAATCTTCTTTGAGATTTGTTTCTTTATCCTTGTCGAAGAAAGTGTCACATTTGATCTTGTCAAGTTCAGAGCATTTCACGCTAAGCGCGTCTTTAGTTGCAATGATTTCTTGTACTGATGCATGGCATGGTTCGCAGCTTGCACATGTCATTAAATCTTCTTCAAGTTTTGTTTCTTCATCCTTGTCCAAGCAAGTTTCACATTTTATCTGGTCAAGTTCAGAGCTATCAATGCTAAGCGCTCCTTTAGCTTCAGAGGTTTTTTCTGCTGATGCGTTACATGGTTCGCAGCTTGCAAACATCATCAAATCTTCTTTGAGATTTGTTTCTTTATTCTTGTCCCAGTAAGTTTTACATTTGATCTTGTCAAGTTTGACTGAAGATTGAATTTTGTACTGTAGTTCGTTCATGCTTGTGTCATTTTTGTCTTTTATCTGAGCGGTAGCGAGGCCATACCTGGCAACTTTGTTGTTGTTGTTATTCATGTACAGGCAATTCACACAGTTGCTTCTGGAAGTTAGTATTTTTTCTGATACTGATGAGTCACATATTCCGCAAGGACCACAATTCACTCTTCCTTGATCTGTATTTGTTGAACTAACAGCAATTTCTCTTCTTGGTACTGATGAGCGGCATGACTTAGTATTTTTTTCTTCATGTTCAAAATTATTTTCTTCCATCGTACGTTGTCGTTCAAATACACTAATTGCACTTGCTTTTTTGTATTCACTCACATAATCAGTTAAAACACCATATTCAGTTTTATTGCTCGATATTTCAAAATTATCCTCTAGATCTATTGTTTTTATTGTTCCATACGAACTAGTAGTTATCGTACCAGATTTTTCTGCAGATTTTTCTGATGGTGTTAACGTCGACTCTTGTCTATTGATCAGAGTAGTTTGTTTAAAATTCTGATTGGACTTCACAGTATGGTTATCTGTGACTTCTAGAAATATTGCATGTTTGATGTCTTCTTTATCGCCGGCTGTGCCAGCACAGGCAGCCTGGCATTTAGTTTCCGAGGTTTTGGTAACATTTTTCTCGTTAGACTTGCTTTTGTGTCCGCCACAAGGTGCACGACCTTTTTTTCCACAATGAGACTTTTTAGATACGGTATTGGATTTTTGCTGGCATTTTACACATGCTGTCTCATAAGGTTCTTCAGGTTTCTGTGTATTACTCTTGTTATGATTACAATAAGGTGCGTGGCAAGTATATGGTTCAACTTCTTTTACCATCTTTTTATGGTTGGCAAATTCAGAAGTGTTATAATCGCAAGATGTCTCCTTACCTGCATCAGCTTTTCCAGGTTTTCGACCAAGTATGGAGGCTAGGCACATATCGCATAAAATATACAGTTTTTTAGAAACACATTTCGAGCTAGCTGCTTTTCGTTCTCGTTCTATTTCAACAACTGCATTACCTGCGATCTGCCCACACATCTCGCACATGTGACATCCTGAGGCATCTTTGAGGAGCATCTTTACATGATTTATTTGTCTTGATGGAAATTTATTTACACTCTTTGAGGTGCATGATCCTGATATTTCTTTTCTAGAACCGTTACCTTGACTGGACGTACATTTGCTCGGGAATTTTCTGTTTGTTTGCATCCCAAGGTGTTATGTAGGGATACTTCGGGGCTTAGGGTCACTGAATGTCACTTTTGATGACTGAAAAATGAATGATAGTGGTACGGGGACTGTCATGGTATGTCCTTGGGAAGAGCATTCCGGTTATACCAAGTGAATTAAATACGACTTTACTTGACTTCTTATACTCATATGTAGATAAAAATTACTGAGGTTTTAACTGGTAGAAAAGCGAATCTCTTTAACAAAAAATTTCTAAAGATAGACTATGCGATTGTGAAAATTCTATGAAAAATGCAGTCAATGTAAAGAAATGAAGGATAAATCATAGTTTTAGATGATCAGATTTTTAAAGAAGTGCTAATCTAGGTCTTTTGTGTTTGTGAACGGATGGTGGATTATATGTCAGCGCTTCTCTTATTAAAGGGTTTGCATGTGAAGTTGCGCGTTCGTAACTTTCACTTGCAATTTATTTAATGAACTGAGAAAAGAAAGGAATATTCAGGTCGTGATGAACGGTCGCGTTAGATATATACCAGGGAGTATGCAGTTCGTAGTATTTATTTTGTATCACTTGCAATGTTGTAACGTGCGTCTTGGCAGCAAAGCACCAGGCTGCAAATGTGTAGGTCATGGTTGGACATACATAATCGAGTTGTGTAATACTAGTTTATTAGTTAAGCTCAGTTTTGTAGTAACCTTGAGCATGGGGTATAAATTACAATCTTTCTACCTGTCTCCAATCTCTTGATCAGAGACAGACCTAGTGATCAGTACTTTGTCATCAGCACACAGTAGTACGTCCATGTGAGGTATATGATGAATGTCCACAGTGTATTTAATGTATAGCGTCGGAGCCAAAACAGAGCCTTGTGGAACACCTGCTTGGATACTTCTCAGAGACGAAAGTGTCGTATCTATTTTAATTCTGAATTCAATGTCATCAAGAAAAGACTTCAGCAGTTTTACTAACCAAAATGGACACTGAAACTCAATTAACTTATAAATTAAGCCATGAATTTGGATTATTGACAAATCCACTGGCAATTATTTCTATCAGCCTGAATGCCTGAAGCTCTGTACTGTGCTGAACCCAAATTATTGGTCAGCACCGGTTTTTCTAAAAGGACATCTTGTAATCGCTCCTGAAATACTTTGTCTATGGTGGAAAGTTCTGGCCTTTCAAAAAATTGATGGACTTTGCGTCGGATGGCATTTCGATCAAAGTTATCAACTGTATCCAACAGCTTCGTGTAATGCAGCCTCTTGTGTGGTGGAGACATTTTTTATTTTTTTATATTATTTAGCAATGTTTAAAATTGTCTTAGGACATAAGCCTGTTTTGTTCGCCACACTTCTATATCAGGAATTTTCATTTCAGGTTGCTCTAAAATTTCGCTCTTATAAACGTTAAGGACAATTTATTTTGCCTGAATAGTCAAATGTCACACGCTTTCGGGGAGAAGACATCACTGAAGAGAAAACATGGCTGAAAGAAGCATTGGGAGAAATATTCACAATTTCATCTGCTGCATACGTAGACGACATGCTAACGTATAAATACACGCTATGTATGTACCGAATATGAACAGCAACTGCCGGCGTCGGCGTGCCGGCGATACCCTGAGCCCGAGTTCTATCCTGTCGAATCCTGCACTTGTTCATAGTTTCATGGCCGAATGACCAATACCTATTGCAACGCTTTGGCGGCTGCCGCTTTGCCGTGCTTCATCTTTGTTGTGCCGGGGCGTAGATGGACTACGAATAGGGTATAGTAGTCTTATTTTCATCATTTATGGTTTGATTATTTTCTTGGTCAGATTGAAAGAGATGCATCAGGGAGAGAGCATGGCAGGATAAATGTCAGAAGTTCTTGAACAGGATTGAGGTGGATTCAGGATTCTAGTTCTCCACCATGCCCAAGTGGCAATCCTATATGTTTACTTCCATCATATGGCCCCCCACAAAAGCTTTGTAGATGGGTGGCTGACTTTATCTCTGGCCGCAAGATATCCGTCGTAATTGTCCCACAACGTCAACGCGTGTGTTCCCCAGAGATCGGTCTTGGCTCCGACACTGTTCCTACATATCAACGACCTCCTTTCCTGCACGATCAACCTCATCCACAGCTTTGCTGATGACAGCACTCTACATGCAGGAATTCAGCGTGACAAGCCGATCTCTGCCGCTGAGCAGGAAAAAAGGAGACTAGCGACGACTTCCTCTCTGACGAGAGACCTGGAGGTTATCACTGCTTGGGGACGCAACAATCTTGTACAGTTTAAAGCTTCCAAAACACAGTACTGTACGTTGAAGAACGAAAAGCGTCCTAGCGCTCATCCGGTTTCGATGGATGGCCGAGTTCTGCCCAAGAACCATTCATTTCGGCTAGTCGGAGTCCAGATCACCGAGGACCTGATCTGGCACGAACACATCTCGTCAATAGCTGCAGCTGCTGGGAAAAAGCTGGGCTATTTGTTTAGGGCTAAGAAGTACTTTTCTCCGAATGACCTTCTCACTCTATACAAGGCCCAGATAAGGCCTAGCCTCGAGTATTGCTCACACGTTTGGGGTGCTGCCACCCCGACTACATTATTTATGCTCGATGCTGTCCAGAGGAGGGCGGATAGATAACTCTTCTCTAACTGACATTCTCGGGACCCTTTCGCATCGGCGGGCCGTCGGCGATCTAGCTCCTTTCTACCGCTACACCAATGGGCTTTGCTCCTCAGAGCTCTATTCCATGATGCCGCCGCGCGATGTGCCTGCCAGACAGACCCGCCTGACTTTGGCGTCCCATCCTAACCGTGACGAATTTCGTACACCCAGAACTGACCGATACGACCGCTCCTTTGTCCCGAGGGTGTCGAGATTGTGAAACAAGCTACAAGAGGAAGCTTTTCCCAGTTCTACTAACCTTAGGCAGTTCAAAAACCGTATTAACAAAATTTCTTTGGGATCATCATAGCTGCCGCGGTGTTCCGGTATTTAGGATTCTGCCTGCGCGGCTGCTTCGGTATAAAAAAAATAAACAAAGGTATTACAGGAGGTTAATAGTGATGAAGACTTACCGACTCTCAAAAGGACCACATTCTATAGATTACTCAAAGAACTTCATTTTGAATATAGAAAACAGGGCAGAAATACGAATAGTATTTTGATGGACAGCCAACAGATTATTTTATGGAGAAGAAATTATTTAAAATCAATAAATAAATACCGCGACCAGAACAGAAAGATTTATTACTTGGATGAAACCTGGATAAATTCAGGACATACAAAACCTAAAGTATGGGCTGACTCTACAATTAAATCAGCAAGACAAGCCTCCTTAGATGGACTAACCACTGGCCTAAAAAATCCGTCAGCTATGTGTCTGTAACGAATTCGACATTTTTGTTGTAAAACTGGTGTCAAGTAGACTGAATCTATGAGTCCACGCTGAAAACTAAGCTATATCTGGTAGAGTTGGAACCAACACCTGTTAGATACTCTGTTTGTATTATTATTAGTCTTCTTGAATACTATATTAAATATTATATGGAGTTCATTTGAACGACGGTTTAAAGAAACGCTCCTAAAGCTTGACGACAATGCCGTCATTGTACTTGATAATGCTGCATACCACACTAGAAAACTAGAAAAAATTTCCAGAATCTCCACAAGAAAGGCAAAATCACTGCGAATTGAATCCCATTGAGATGATTTGGGCAAATACAAAAAACTATTTGGCTGCAAAAAATAGAACATTCAAATTTTCTGACGTGAAAAATTTGTTTTATGAATCTGTCAACAGAGTGACGGCAAACCATTGGAAATATTGCATCCGTCACATTCAAGAGACAATCGAAACAAATATGTGGGATCTGGACAATATGATCGATATTCAAAATGAACCTGTAATAATTAATATTAACCATTCGGATGATGATTCAAATACTTCCGGCGAATAAAGAATTGTGAAAAGTATGTGCTCTTTCTTTCATAAAAATAATCATTTATTTTGTTAAATTATTCCAAGACCATTGAGGAAAATACGGACCTGTACTCGCTTTTGGACATGTTGTGTTTCGTCTCGGCGTAAATGGACTACGAATAGGATATAGCGTTCTGGCTCTTTCAGAGGGCCAAATGAAAAATAATTTAAAACAAATGATGTTGAATACATTCTTGGCAGCTGGCATGTCATTGAAGTCTTTAGTATGTGTATTGACCTTATTAAGCGAGATAGCCCAATCGTAACATCGGAATCTTATCCTGCGGTTTACATGAAGACAAGTCCCCATGCTTGTCTGGCCAATAAAACCACATGTATTGACAGATCTTCTTTGTGGTTGAAACGTTCACTACACTAAAGAAGATATGCCAATACATATGGTTTTATTGGCCAGAAAGGGCTTGGGGATTAGCCCAATGGTATTCAAAGAAATCGCAACAGGTACAGATACAACATCCGTTTAGCGCAAGATTTCCGTAATACGTAACCACTTTCCTTTAAAGCATGGACTGATTGGATTTTATAATGATGAAAACCCATTTTTTCTTCATTATGCCATGCAGTGTTCATCGAGGATTTGCAATGTCCGAATCACTTACTCGACGTACATTTTCTTCGGTTGATACAGTAGGTGTGGGGCCAGGAGTGGGTTGACTAAGAGTAGAGCCTGTTTCAGGGAACCTCTTAATCCATTTTTTCAACAGGTTTTTACTTGGAATATCTCTTGGTCGGCGAATGTTGCATCGTGAACAAAATTTCCGAAGGGCAGCTGCGTATGAATCACCACTCTTAAAGTAAGCCCCGATAGCAAAAACACGTTGCGCTCCGGTCCAACGTTCCATTATGGCTATTTAACCCGCACGCCGAACGCGTCGATCAAGAGCTCTCCCCACTTCCTCGCGTACATGGTTGCCGCATAATTTAAATTTTAAATGTGAAGTTTCCCACTGTATATGGATTCGCAAGAATAAAAACCCGTTTCCATAGCAATATCATTTTTAATAGGATATCTCCAAATAGTTACAACAAATTTCATGGAATAGTCACTTCCTTGCAGGAATATCATACGTTAAAGGATATATTCCACTCTCCGATTCACTATTGACATCATAGTATTGACCCATAGACATACTTATTTCTGAGCTAATCTCGTAATTTGATAGGGATACGGTAAGCTGAGAAATCTTTTTCGCAACTTGATTTGTTTCTAGTAAACGTCCATCTTTAGTGTTATTCTTATTGTAGCTTCTTATGTTGTATTGACCATCCTCGGAAATACAATATTCTCTTTCTCCGTCCAAATGGTGGTTGCTTTCTTCGCTTAGTCCTACAAAAGGAGAGATTTTGTGAACATCATTTATTTTCTAAAAAAATGTTAAAAACTTTCGAGTGTGATTCTTTGGACCATTAAAAAAATAATATTAACATCTAGCACCTTTCGAAAAACCGTTTATTCGAATATACACCACGACGAAAACATCTAAGAAAAACAATTAGCAAAAACCAATATCAGTAATATACGAAAACGGTTAAGCAACGACCTCTAGCTTTTCGATCTTCATCTCATAGAGCATAGACCAAGTACTTCCAGGCAGTGGCGTAGCAAGGGAGGGGCGGCGAGGGCGGGCCGCACCAAGTGTCTCCTTTTTTGGGGTGACACCCACCCGGTGACTCAACTTTAAGAACCATGTAAAACATAAAAAAATAAATCGCTAGCACAGCTGTCTTCTTCGGTGATTCCTCCACAAGTACTAGCTCAGCTCTATGTATAATTCGGGGATTCCCCCAAAATCAGAAGACTACGATATTCCAACAGAAAGACGACTTCGTCGTAAAAAAGTGTGGTTGGTGAGATGGCCAGTGATGCAGGACACTGAAAGAAGAACTTTAAAAAGATATGTTGGAATGTCTTGACCAATTCAGAGTTGAGCTCCAGACAAGATCAAGAACGTACAAACAAGTACATTGCTTTTGGCGGATACCGAAGAACTAAAATTAGATACATATATATTATATGCAAATTTACTGATTTTTATGATGAGGTCTCAGATATCTCTAGATGTTTTAAAGTTTATTGTAGAATGGAATTTTACAGAAACTCTTCCAAATCTTATGATTGCTCTGAAATTGTTTATGACGGTTTGCGTGTCCGTAGCTTCATGTGAAAGGAGTTTCAGTAAACTAAAATTAATAAAAAACCATTTGGGGGCAACAATGACCCAATCGCGGCTTAGCAATCTTAGTATATTAGCCATCGAACACGAGGCAATACAAAATATAAATTTTGATGAAAAAAGCTTGAATTGTAAGATAAAAATATTTTTTCTGTTTTAGTTTTTATTGAGTTTTATCATTTGTTCAATATTTTAAATATAAATATCAAATGATCCATGGCGTTTATAAATCATATATAATGTATTGCTTTTGGCTTTCGATGGGGTGACACCACCAACTTCCGCACCGGGTGGCGCCCAAGGTAGCTACGCCAATACTTTCAGGTACTATTCCATCTCCTAGTTGTTCTGGCTACGGAATAAAAGCACAATTGTTGAAGAATAAGTTTACCGTTGTCTTAAAATATACTTTGACAAGGGCTGCCGAGATAGCTAAAGCTTCCATAAACTAATTGAACATCTGTGATTTTATTTCGATTATATTTTTATTTTATTTATTTTTATGTATTACTTGTAGATGAAGATGATAACCTTCCAAGTTTGTTTGGTCAATAAAATCACATGTATTGATAGAACCTTCTTTACTGTGAACGTTCCAATCACAACGGTGATCTTCGTCAGTACAATGATATATTTTATAAATATATCTGCCTTTCAGGTGACAGTTCTTTTGTGTTTGAATTTTGAAGAATCTCACACTTTGGGCAGTATATGCTGACAGAAGGAATCTTCTGAGCTTTTCTACCAGAGAGTGGCTGGAAAGGTTTCTCCCTCTCCATAAAAAAGAGTCCTTCTAGATACCTTGAGAATCGAGAATCGACAACCCTGGAAATGAAACCAGAAGACTGCCAGGTGTAGGCATTGGATCCTCCAAGGAGAGCCTCTAAAAATGACTTGCAGGTTGCGAGATCTGTAGTCTATTTTGAAAAAATAAAATGGGCGGTCAGAGCATTTGAGTCATACAAGTCTCCAGGACTATAGTCAAATACCAGAATTGATGACAGTAGCAGAAGTCATCGTGCGCCACTGCTTTGACGCTGTACCTTTTGATTACAACGACGTTTACCGACATTTCACAAAGAAGCGCGGAATTTTCGAAGGCCTCCGCGTAATAGCAGTGGCGTACGATAAGTTTCGCTACTGTCATCAATTTTGGTATTTTACTATAGATGCATTACTTGAGGAGGGAACGGACCTCCTAACACGCAAGCTATGCAACATTTTGAGGGCTAGCTTGACGCTGGGGTATATACTAAAACCGCGTATCTAAGCCTGGGAAAACATGACAGGGAGATGCAAGATCACTCAGACCTATAAGTCTGATGGTTGAAGACTTTGGAAAAACTACTAGATAGACGTATGTGGCATAATGCTTTAGTAAACAGCCTTCTGCATTCGGACCAGTACGCCTATACAGCAGGCAAATCGACAAAAACGGCGCTACATCAGCTGATACAGGCAGCAGAATATGCGCTAGAAACCAAGGAAGTGCTACTCTGCACTTTCCTACACATACAGTGTGTTTTCAACAACTTGTCCCTAGTCTCAATCTCCAGAGCAACGAAGAGAATTGGCCTCGATGAAACAACATTCAGGTGGATAGACTGCATGCGGAGAGGAAGATTGCTATACATCACTGTCATGTAGGAGATCTTAGTACTCCAGACGGACACAAAACCCTACGATATGCGGATGACCTCGTTATCCTATCGCAAGGCAAAATCAACAACACAGCTCTGAATGTGGTCACAAAATGGACGTCAAACGGGTGTTTAAACGTAAGTGCCTCTAAGACATCCATTGATGCTTTCACCAGAAGGAAGAAATTAGAGAATCTAGCAACTCTATGCCTTCTGGAAAAACAGATGCAACTGGCGGGGGAAGTCAAATATCTGGGGGTAATACTAGACAATTGTGATGTTTTCACACGAGGTCGGTTTCGTTGAGACTAGCTATTGAAATGAAGACGCGAAAGAAGATGTACTTGCTATGGAGTCGGCGAATAAGAAGAAATAGGCGGTTTTGGATTCACCCATTACTTCATAATCGATATAGTTCTGGGTCCTTCAAAGTTTTATTCAATTCATTGCGGAACAGTGAGGAGACAAAACTCAACACTTGAACAAAAACAATATCGTAGTATACGTACGTCTTTACTCTCCAGTGGTAGTTCCAAGACTAGAGGTTGGAGTATGCGGCGAGCGCCGGACCGTGTGAAAACACCAAAAACAATAGCTCCTCGCAGAATAGTCCGGCGTAGAGGAATCCGGCGTTTGCGCTGTGCGGCGCGCGCCGGATATTGTGTGGAAAGACTCATCTATTTCCATAGCGAAACGCCGCATCAGGCACGCCACGCCAACAGGATTGTGTGATAGGGGCGTAATGAGCCGAGGGACTACAGTTCTTCATCTTGTCGCACTTGCAACTTATCTGAACGTCGTGACCCACGTAACAATTGATTTCCGGTCCAGGACAGGGGCTAACGGGGCTAAATTAAAGAGATTCCGAAAGGCGCACTGGATTGCCATCACAGAACATCCTCTCGAAAAGTAGGCACCAACCGGTTGAATGGCGCATTTAAAAAAAAAAGGAGTTATGCTACCGCACCCTGTACTTTGTCAACCAGTCCTAAATAAATAAAGTCAACATTTAAAAAATCATTTCATGAAGTCTACAATGGATTCACAAGATTAAGCAATATTATAAATACACTGAGAAAATGTGGTCAATTAAACATTTTTTCTGTAAAATTTTCATTACCCGAGATAAATTTTTAAATTGTTCAATGTAACTAAATTATTCGAATTAATTAAACTGCGTTTTCATGAAACAGTTTAATTGGAAATAGCCAGGTACTCATTTTTTAAAACTGTTTGATTAGTTTAGATAATTCAGTTTACGTAGAAATTAAATAATTAAACATTTTTAAAACCACTTAAACAGTTTATTTGAATAGCAGACTCAGCAGGACTCTGCCCTTCTTCGTGAATGATCGGGAGTATGCGACAGGCGCAGTACCGATGACGAGCTCCAAACTCCTCAGTTTTTTGTGATTTTCATATTTTAATTACCCGTGATACATTTTTCGATTGTTCTAAGTAATGTAGCGTTTTTCTGGGTTGTTTTGTGTGTGGATTAAAATACTGGATTCCACAAAAAGAAATACACTAATTTATTTTACTCGACTAGGTAGAACATTTATGTACACCACTATTTATGTCTAACTAATTCTTATGTCGCGCCACTGACTGGACACTCCACTCTGCTCTACTCTGGTGTAATCTGTACTCCCCTTCATCTCCCGGTCGCCGAGTTATATATAGTCACCATTGCTGCTTCGAGAAAGGTCTGGTGATCCACACAGCGACATCAAGAAGATTGGAGGTCACTTCGCGTCGATCTAGAACGTGAGTCACTGCCACGGTCCTCAAAGACGCCGCCAAGCGGCTCGTGCGGTCGTGGTTCCCGTAATAGCAGAGATCGTCCATGAAGCTCTGGCGAGTAGGAGACTCGCCAACAGAACTATTTGTCACAGTAACTAAAATATTCGAATTAATTAAACTGAATTTTCAGGAAGCAGTTAAATCGAAAATAGCAAACCAGGTACCTGTTTTATTAAACTGTTTAATTGGTTTAGATAATTTAGTTTATGTAGAAATTAAACAATTCAATATTTTAATAAAACCACTTAAACTGTTTATTTGAACCGCGAACTCAGGAGAACTCGGCTCTTCTTCGTGAATGATCGGGAATATGCAACAGGCGCAGTGCCGATGATGCGCTCCGAACTCTTCGGTTTTATTTGTGATTTTCATATGACTGTTGCCGTTATTGGTGAAGTAGGTGTGAAGTGGATCAATTATGGTGATCATGTGAAATACTCGAGCATAAGGCGCTTAGTGACGCATAACCATGGAATATTTCTCGCTCCAAGGAAACACTTTACAGGGTGACTTTGAAGTTCAGTCATTAATTTTCAGATAATGATTGTAGAAGGAAGATAAACCAAAATATGTGTGTAAAAATAAAAAAAAATTAAAAAAAATTTTTTACCTTGTTTTATAAAGTATCCTCCCGACAAGTATTTCAGTGCGGACCTGTATTTGATCGTGAGGTCCCCTGTGAGGTCTTAAGTCACCTGATTCACGAGCCCGTTGTACTACATTAACAAAGGCACGAGGGGTTGGTTGCACTCGATTGGGAAACCGATCCGCATAAACATGTGCCATTTTTTATTTCGTTTGAGCCACGCAACAGACACAACTATTCACACGCGTTACCGACTGACACTGACTGTATGTATACAACTGAATAAAATAATTGTAAAAACATCGTTCCAAATACTTTCGCTTTTTTGTTTCCGATGCGATGAACCGATAAGGCGGATTATATCCGTTGTTGCCAAACACGAGCACATGATATTATTATTGAGACAGGGCGGTACTCAAACTTCCAAAGGGCTATAACTTTGTTACTTTAATTTTACCAGAAAAATGGTAAAGGAAAAAACATTTCTTTTGATCAGATCTATTCACTGTTAAAATAAATGACTCAACTTCGATGTCACCCTGTATATAGGGGAGTCACTGCTGACATGACCGAATGGGAAGTACTTTGAAATTTTATTTATGAAGTCGTATTTAGGTCAATGAAATGAATTCATACCAAACATGTGCTTAACATAGGCTTGATGACATAGGGTGATTGACAAGTCGTGACCAAAAATGAAACATCATACACAGGACCGCATTTTAAGGGGGGTCTTATATGTAACATTTTTTCCTTTCATTATGAACTCTAGTGCACTCTAGTGCACTCTAGGAAAAAATACAAGAGTAATCATTTGTAGCAAACTGAAGGTAAAATTCGAAAAATTGCGCGTTTCAAAAAAGAAACAGTGACGTACAATTTTTATTTGGAAAAATAATGTCACTAAAGTGTATCTAACGAAGCTACAAAGTAATCGTAAACAGTGGTTGATTCGTGATCAACGCGTGATCGGTAGCCATGGCGCTCTGTCGGCCTCTTCCTGATTGGCTTGTAGCGACGAGCCTCCAGACAAAGTCGCACGGTTGCCACGCTCGGCGAGTTTTCGCCAGAGTGGTTGATCACATTCGCATGGATCACAAATCAATCTGTTGGTGCAATACGTGCAATAACTGTTGTAAAGGACATTATATAACAATAAATGGCATCACAAAGGTATATTCCAATTTGATCTGCAGCAAATTATGAACGGCATATACGGAGATGCGAAAACAAGCTCAAAAAGATGAAGAAAATTTTTGTGCAATCTTTATAGTTAAATTTTTCCTAAGAGATAGCATCAGTGAGGGATTTTTTTTCTATTGTCTTATTTTTCACATTAATGCGATGTCGAGGTATGTGGCCCTATCGCAATTGAAAATAAGGTTTCGATAATCCTTCCATAAAGTTTCGATGAGTACATCTGAAATAACCTTGAGATTATTCTTCAGGGAAATACAAAAATCTCCTTTTGTGTTTTTTTGTGCAGATTTATCTATTAAAATCCTATCCGCAATCTATTTTCCGTGCACACACCTTCAACCGAATGTATGCCATATATGATATTACCGTTTCCAACTTTCACCAAGGTTAATAGGAACCATAACAGCTCCCTACCCTTCCCCCCTATAAGAATATCGATTTGTAGCCTCACATTTCAAGGTTAGACTTCTTGTAATGTTTCTGTTCAACATTCGGCGATTTCTGACAATTTTCCCAATACAACATGATCATTGTGACATTAAGCCTGGCAACGCTGCATAGTAGAGGGAACTCTCAGCGTCACGTTGATGGTTCGTCACCACGCACAGGATTGTAATCAGTTACGGATACCCGTTTATGAGCGCGAACGTTTTATGCACGTCTTGACTTGATTTTTCTTGCGGAAATTTAATATTAGTCTAAAATGTCTGACACAGATACAGCTGATGAAGTGGTTGAAATCAGCTTAACGTCACCCAGAAAAAGGGCTAAAAAGCTTCATCTTAGCGCAGGTGAAAAATAAATTATTCTAAATATCTACAAGAACCAGATGCAAGAAAATAGTGGATTGGCTATAGAAAATATCGTATGTAAGGTTGCTGAAATTTCTGGAGTACGTCGATCAAGTGTTTACAAAATCTTGAAGGAATATAGACAAAATCACTCACTATCTGAGCCAAAAACATATCCAGCGAGAAAAAAAATAATCGAAAAAATAGATGACTTTGACAAAAGTGCCATTAGAAGAAAAGTACATCACTTTTTCTTCAGGAATGAAATACCTACAATAGATAAAATATTGAAGCAAGTGAATGATGATGAGGACCTGCCAAATTTTAAAAGATCTACGTTCCATAAGCTGTTGAAAGAACTAGACTTTCGATTTTTGAAAAGAGGAAGGAATAGTTTATTGATAGAAAAGGAGGAAATTGTTATCTGGAGGAGAGAATACCTTAGAAAAATTAGGCAATTCCGCGCTGAGGGAAGAAAAATTTATTATTTAGACGAAACATGGGTGGGCATACGCAGGGAAAGGTTTGGGTAGACAGATCTGTGAGGTCCTCAAGGCAGGCTTTTTTAGATGGCCTTTCGACGGGATTGAAAAATCCTGCAGGTAAGTTTCGAAGTATATGAACTTTTTTGGATGCAGATAATTCATTTTCTGATCGAATCAATGATTTGGAAGCTCCGAACTCAGTTTTGCTATCTCATCCAAGTTTCTGAGTATTTCCTTCACCCAAAAACTAATCTAAGACCCTATCCTACACTAACCTAAAAAGAGTAAGTTGCTTAATTTCGTCATTTAGTGCGCTCGCTGAGAAGTAAAATAACTAATTACTTTCAGGCAAGGGAAAACGCCTGATCATTTGCCACATAGGTAGCGTAGATGGATTTGTTCCTGAAGCATTGTGGGCATTTGAATAAAAAAAAACTGGAGACTATCACGAAGAAATGGATGGTAACTCATTTGAAAATTGGTTCAAAAAAATTTTGCCAACACTTGATGATAACGCAATTATTGTGATGGATAATGCCCCGTACCACTCCAGAAAATTGGAAAAAATTCCAACAATGGCCACCAAAAAGGCAGACATTCAACAGTGGCTTGTCTCAAAGAAGATCGACTTCGACCAAACAATGGTCAAAGCTGAGCTGATAAATATAGTCAAGCGACATAAGTATAAATATGATTTAAAAATTGTTGACGAAATGGTCAAAAACCAAAATAAAACGATTCTCAGGCTGCCTCCCTATCACTGCGAACTGAATCCTATCGAGTTGATTTGGGCCGACATCAAGCAATACGTGGCGTCAAATAACAGCAAGTTTCTAGTTATTAATGTGGAAATTCCAAATTTATAATTACACAAAATTAGGGTTAATTTAGGAGTTCCAAAGCATAATAGTGCCATTTTGACCTTCTTCCTATTTCTCATGTAAATTTTAATAGCAATCAAACTAACAAACTTTATGGAGTCTGTAATAAACTTTTGTACTACTACTACTACGTCTGTAGTTTCTATTTGCTCAAAAAAATTTGCTCTGCATTGTGAATAGAAGGTTGATTTGTAAATATTATTGGGTATATATGTAAGTTAATAATAAAATATGAACAATTTCAATTGAGATGATCCACAAGTTTTTTTCGTGTGCGTTTTAGTAACATTTTGCTGAAATGGTGAATACAGAATTTTTTGCACAGAGTCCTAATGTCGAAATATGATTAGAAAGGCGTGGTATATTCCTGATAATTTACTATGCTTTTGATAGAATTTACAGCAACACATATCTTGTACGACATTTTTTGATAGATCAGTCACAATAGCTTGATACGGCCCTGTAGCGTCTCCTACGGTTAAGTTCTTGATCACGTGCAATACGGGTGTATATGTTTGATTTTACTTTGTTTCTTCGATGGATACAGTTTAAACCCGTGTATCTCCGTCACTAGTGCACGTTAATTTTAAGTAAAGACTTTTGGATGTGGACAATACTTAGTTAAATCCACATACCAAATTTAGTTCATTCCAGTTGACAGTTTTAAAGATATTAAAAAAATTGTTTTTTATTTCAAAAAAGGTTACATAGAAAATGCGGCCCTGTGTGATGTTTCATTTTCGGTCACAACTTGTGAATCACCCTGTATATGTAAATCCGTTGTATACGGGTGAGTACAATATTGTTTTATCATTAGAAATAACAGTATCCCTCTTCCTACTTTCTGAATCTAAAACAAAGAATTGTTTCTCGTGAATAGTGATATATTATAACCTGTTTCTGGAGAGGACAAATAATTGGTAAAACATAATCCCATATATAATAGGTTTACAATTAATGAGCGTTTATTTTGATTCAAAAACGTCAATTCTCAATATAGAGTTAGCAATCAAACTAACAAACTTTATGGAGTCTGTAATAAACTTTTGTACTACTACTACTACGTCTGTAGTTTCTATTTGCTCAAAAAAATTTGCTCTGCATTGTGAATAGAAGGTTGATTTGTAAATATTATTGGGTATATATGTAAGTTAATAATAAAATATGAACAATTTCAATTGAGATGGTCCACAAGTTTTTTTCGTGTGCGTTTTAGTAACATTTTGCTGAAATGGTGAATACAGAATTTTTTGCACAGAGTCCTAATGTCGAAATATGATTAGAAAGGCGTGGTATATTCCTGATAATTTACTATGCTTTTGATAGAATTTACAGCAACACATATCTTGTACGACATTTTTTGATAGATCAGTCACAATAGCTTGATACGGCCCTGTAGCGTCTCCTACGGTTAAGTTCTTGATCACGTGCAATACGGGTGTATATGTTTGATTTTACTTTGTTTCTTCGATGGATACAGTTTAAACCCGTGTATCTCCGTCACTAGTGCACGTTAATTTTAAGTAAAGACTTTTGGATGTGGACAATACTTAGTTAAATCCACATACCAAATTTAGTTCATTCCAGTTGACAGTTTTAAAGATATTAAAAAAATTGTTTTTTATTTCAAAAAAGGTTACATAGAAAATGCGGCCCTGTGTGATGTTTCATTTTCGGTCACAACTTGTGAATCACCCTGTATATGTAAATCCGTTGTATACGGGTGAGTACAATATTGTTTTATCATTAGAAATAACAGTATCCCTCTTCCTACTTTCTGAATCTAAAACAAAGAATTGTTTCTCGTGAATAGTGATATATTATAACCTGTTTCTGGAGAGGACAAATAATTGGTAAAACATAATCCCATATATAATAGGTTTACAATTAATGAGCGTTTATTTTGATTCAAAAACGTCAATTCTCAATATAGAGTTTTCCGAATTTTTTGATACTAAAGCAGTTATAATATCCATCATTCAGTAAAATGCAATTGTTCTTTAAAATTCGAAATATTATCCACATATCCTCTTAAATCTAAATAAAATGATTCATTAAGGCTGGGCAAACTCTTTTACCTGAACTAATTAAACAAATTTGATAGATATAACTAAATTGTTTTATCTGGACAGGTAAACTCATTTCAATAGTGCACTAATTTTAAATAAATTGGTGTACTCAGTCTAAGTAAACGGTTCAAGACATTTAAATAAACGATTGCATTTTGATTTGGTTAAGGTAGTTTCATAGATTCAAATAAATTGTTTTAGAAATCGGAGTTTAATTAAACCAATTGAACTTGTTAGCTGTCACATAGTTAATTAAATGTATTAATTGGTCTGATTAAAGTTTTAATTGGTCTGATTAAACTTTTTTCTCAGTGTAGGCTTAGCTAACCTGAACATAGAGCTTAGATGTCAGTTAGCAGAAGATCGTTTCCGGTGGGCAAATTCACGTTTGATATGCTTGTAGCAGCATCCAACGTCAGGTAGTGGAACTTTTATTGTCCACATCGCTATCTCGTTGTTCATTAATTTTAAATAAATTGGTTTACTCAGTCTAAGTAAACGGTTAAATATATTTAAATAAACGATTCCATTTTGATTTAATTATACTAGTTTCATAGTTTCAACTAACTGTTTTAGAAATATAAGTTTAATCAGACTAATTAAACTTGTTAGCTATCACATAGTTAATTAAATGTTTTAATTGGCGTAATTGAAGTTTTAATTGCTTTGATTAAAATTTCTTCTCAGTGTAGGCTTAGCTAACCTGAACGTAGAGCATAGTTGTCAGTTAGCAGATAGCTTCTGGTGGCAAATTGAGGTTTGATATGCTTGTAGCAGCATCGAACATCAGGTAGTGGTACTTATTGTACACAACGCCAGCTCGTTGTTCATTAATTTTAAATAAATTGGTGTACTCAATCTAAGTAAACGGTTCAATACATTTAAATAAACGATTGCATTTTGATTTGATCAAACTGTTTTCATAGATTCAAATAAAATGTTTTAGAAATCGAAGTGTAGTTAGACTTATTAAACTTGTTAGCTGCCACATAGTTAATTAAATGTTTTAATTGGTCTAATTAAAGTTTTAATTGACTTAATTAAACTTTTTTCTCAGTGTAGGCTTAGCTAACTTGAACGTAGAGCATAGTTGTCAGTTAGCAGAAGATAGCTTCTGGTGGGCAAATTGACGTTTGATATACTTGTAGCAGCATCAAACATCAAGTAGTGGTACTTATCGTCCACAATGCTAACTCGTTGTTCATTAATTTTAAATAAATTGGTGTACTCAGTCTAAGTAAACGGTTCAAGACATTTAAATAAACGATTGCATTTTGATTTGATTAAACTAGTTTCATATACTCAAAAAACTGTTTTAGAAAGCGGAGTTCAATTAGACTAATTAAACTTTTTAGCTATCACATAGTTAATTAAATATTTTATTGGACTAATTAAAGTTTCAATTGTTTTGATTAAACTTTTTTCTCAGTGTAGGCTTAGCTAACCTGAACGTAGAGCATAGTTGTCAGTTAGCAGAAGATCGCTTCTGGTGGACAAATTGACGTTTGATACGCTTGTAGCAGCATTCAACATCATTGTTCACATCGCTATCTCGTTGGTCATTAATTTTAAATAAATTGGTGTACTCAGTCTAAGTAAACGGTTAAATATATATAAATAAACGATGGCATTTTGATTTGAAAAAACTAGTATCATAGATTCAAATAAACTGTTTTAGAAATCGGAGTTCAATTACACTAATTAATTAACTTGTTAGCTATCACATAGTTAATTAAATGTTTTAATTGGTCTAATTAAAGTTCTAATTGGGTTAATTAAACTTTTTTCTCAGTATGGGCTTAGCTAACCTGAACGTATGGCATAGTTGTCAGTTAGCAGAAGATCGCTTCTGGTGGGCAAATTGACGTTTGATATGCTTGTAGTAGCATCCAACATCAGGTAGTGGTACTTATTGTCCACATCGCTATCTCGTTGAGGCGTCAAGTCGTAGTCTGAATTAAGTAGCCTCGAATAATTGTTATACAAAGAGTCTTTTTCTATCGATTCTGTTTTCATGGAATATTCTGATAGATTTGCTTTTTTCATGCAGATTTCAGTGTCGGAGGCGTTTGAGAATACCTCTGTTTTACTATCTTCTTCTTTTGCTTCCACCGGATGTTTTACTTCTTGTTCTTCGATTATGTCTTCCTTAGGAGTAGGCTGTTCTGTAAAGTAAAGAAGACCTTCCTTTGATTCTACAATATTACGAAGCACGTAGATCGGTTTGTCGATCAGTACATAGTCATTATCTTTTTCTATGATTCTAACGTCTTTGTTTGTGTTGCATTCTTTTTCCAGATGTTCAATCATAATTTGAGTACACTTTTCTACGTTTTGATGAATTACTTCATGCACTTGCTTCCTATCACTTTCTAATGAAGTACTATCTTCTGAATTACGAAGCGTTACCACGTGGGTCTTAAAATTATCTAAAAAAAGAATAGCGTATAGTAAATATGTTTAACAGTTTCCAATACACGTATATTAAGGAACCACTTCCTTGTGAACTTTGAAACAAATTTTATATTCGTACACACATATATATATATATATATATATACAGGGTGACTTCGAAGTTGAGTCATTTATTTTAACAGTGAGTAGATCTGATCAAAAGAAATGTTTTTTTCCTTTACCATTTTTCTGGTAAAATTAAAGTAACAAAGTTATAGCCCTTTGGAAGTTTGAGTACCGCCCTGTCTCAATAATAATATTATGTGCTCGTATTTGGCGACAACGTATATAATTCGCCTTATCGGTTCATCGCATCGGAAACAAAAAAGCGAAAGAATTTGGAACGATGTTTTTACAATTATTTCATTCAGTTGTATACACTTATACAGTCAGTGTCAGTCGGTAGTGGATAGTGGTGTCTGTTGCGTGGCTCAAACGAAATAAAAAATGGCACATGTTTATGCGGATCGGTTTCCCAATCGAGTGCAACCAACCCCTCGTGCCTTTGTTAATGTAGTACAATGGGTTCGTGAATCATTTGACTTAAGACCTCACATATGGACGGCATGCCGGTGCTCCAAGACCTCACGATCAAATACAGGTCCGCACTGAGATACTTGTCGGGAGGATACTTTATAAAACAAGGTAAACATTTTTTTTTTAATTTTTTTTTTATTTTTACACACATACTTTGGTTTATCTTCCATCTACAATCATTATCTGAAAATTAATGACTCAACTTCAAAGTCACCCTGTATATTCCCGAGTCCCGAGTACCGCTCTGTTGCATCGCGCTTCGCGCTGATTCATTTGCTTGCGTGGCTCTGGGGGGGCGGAAAGGTTCAGGTCTTGATAGCGCAGTCACATTATGTGAACTTGTTGCTATGACAGTATCGAAACAATGCGATTTCTTAGATTCGCTACATTCATATCAATTGTATCGAACTATTAGGGCTTTTTAGGTTATTGCACGTTGCTCAAATGTATAATTTATACAGATGAACCAGATTCCATTATTATTTATACCGTATCATATAATGACCGTACTATATGGAGGGTCCGTAACACAAGGAAGCAGAAAAAATGTAAACGAATCTAAAGGGTGTTCAGATAAGGACGCTCGAAAGTTAAAATGGAAAAAAAAGGAAAAAAATTTAAGTCAGCACTAAAAGTCTATATTGATCGTAAATAGCATTCGACGACATTATGACATTATGTATGGAAGATTATATCGTTTAAATGGCCACCGCGACTGCGCTGTACAGCGTGCATTCGCATGGTCCAATTTTCGAGCACTTTTCCGCACATTTCAGCGTCTACCTGTCCGAGGACGCGAATGATGTTGGCCCTCAATGCTGCAATTGTTTGTGGCTTATCCGCATACACTTGAGACTTCACGAAGCCCCACAGGAAAAAGTCTAAAGGCGTTATATCGCACGATCTTGGTGGCCAGTGCACATCGCCGCCGCGCGAAATAATGAAACCGTTGAACTTTTCATGCAGTAAATCCAGCGTTGCGCGTGCGGTGTGGCACGTAGCGCCGTCCTGCTGGAACCAGATGTCTGTTAGATCCATATCGTCCAGTTGAGGCCACAGGAAGTCATTAATCATGGCGCGATACCGATCTCCATTGACCGTAAGCGCGTTGCCCATAGCGTCCTCAAAAAAATATGGACCGATTACGCCGCCAGCCCAGAAACCGCACCATACAGTCACTTTAGCAGGATGCATAGCAATTGAGCAAGTCACTTCAGGATTTTGGTCAGCCCATATACGGCAATTCTGTTTATTGACATACCCATTCATCCAGAAATGCGCCTCGTCGCTGAAGATGATTTTTCGTGCAAATGCAGGGTCGACTTGCACAAAAAATCGAGCGTCCCTATCTGAAACACCCTTTAAAAGCATTGTCGTCTACTATACCTACCTATTTTTTATTTTTTTTATTTATGTATTATGCAACTTATCAGATAAGTAATGACATGTATTATTTAATGTATTGCATAGTCCAAACATATTTATGATTATACAGGGTGCTCCTTAATGATATGCGAATATTTAAGGGTGTGAATCTACATGAAAAATTAATGTTAGTTTGGTCTAAAAATGTTTCCTTACAAAAACTCGGGGTGTTGAAGTTTTAGGAAAAATATGGAAATTAATTAGTATTTTCAGAACCGCTTCAGATATTTCACTGATATTTAGTACGTAGTGAAAGTTGAAAAAGTTGCATATTTATCAATGCAAAAATAATTTGTAGCTTTAACAGTGGCGTGCGTACGGGTATTGACGTCAATATTTTTTAAGAAAAAAAATAGTACGCCAATGTTTTTTGCCAAATAAAAATTATTTGTGAATTCGCCGTTCAATTTAAAATAAATGATCTCTCTTGAATTGTTTTCCTTCGATGCGCCATTTCTGAGTAAAAAAAATAAAAACCGTTCTATTGTCCGAGAAAATTAATGTAATAATTGAAGAATGCAATTTAGCAATAAATATCTAGTTGCTCTGAAATATGTCACTGGATTTTGACATCTGACAAGTCTCTGTTATTCAAATCTGTTCGATGTGACATCTTTTTCATTATTTAGTTTTTACAACCTTGTTAATAGTGGTGAATTATTCAAATGCAGAAATGGCGGAAATGCATTACGTATATAGCCTTGCCGATGGTAATAGTGAGCAAGCAACACGGATTTATCACCTGAGGTATCCCGATCGTGCTTTGCCAAATAGTCGAACCTTTTCTAATATTTATCGCTAGACACTTAAATATTTGTCATCAAATTGTTTGGAGAATTTTAGTAGATTTTTTGTTATATCCTTACCATATTTTAAGAGTACAGACATTACTTCCCATTGATTTTCCAATGCGTGTGACCTTTCGTCAGTGGTATCTTCAAAAAGTTACACAAAATCAGCAATTTGAATCAATGATTCTGTTCACGGACGAAGCTAACTTTTCTCCAAATGCCATTCAGAATTTCCACAATAATCATTTGTGGGCAGAAGAAAATCCCTATGCCGTAACCGAAACCTATTTACAACACCAATTTTCGGTTAACGGATGGGCAGGAATTATTGGCAACCACTTTATTGGCCCATTCTTCTTGCCGGGACGACTTGACGGATAGACTTACCTCAATTTTTTTCAACAACAGTTGCCTTTGCTGCTTGGTGACCTTCTGTTAGTAGTAAGAAGCCATATGTGGTACATGCATGTTGGTGCACCAGCGTATTTCAGTGTAGCGGTTCGTAATTACAGACCTCAACAGTTTAGATTCCTTTTTGTGGGTCTATCTTAAGACACTTGTGTACACAAGTCCCATGAACACTGTAGAGGAATTAAGAGAAAGAATAGTTGCAGCTTGTGAATAAAAAACACTCCAGAGATACATAGTCATGCCATAAGTTCTGTCCCTCGTTTTCAAACAAGTGTAGACCTGTTAATACTTGTCCGATTGTTTACATTGTGGTGTCAGTTGATTAAGCGCTTTTCGGGTAATTACATATACCTCAGTTTGTATTGATCTCTCGAAGCATAACGATGGAGTGGGGCAAGGCAGAGAACCGTATTGCAGTGATAGCTTTACATAAGTGTAATCACAGTGCTAGTCAGATTTTTGAACTCTTACGCGGCCTTCAAATATCGCGTAAATTTGTGTCTAGGACCATTCAGCGGTACAATGAGACGTCCTCTGTTGATGACAGGCCAAGAAGCGGAAGACCTCGTCAAGTAAGGACTCCAGCAGCCATCAAAGCCGTAAAAGCCAGGATTCAAAGGAATCCACTCCGGAAGCAGAAGATCCTATCCAGGGAAATGAAGATTCCTGTCCGGACGATGTCGCGCATCATTAAACAAGACCTAGGGCTAGGGGCTTACCGGAGACGTACGGGCCAGCGACTTACGGCCACCTTGCGACACATCAGGGCGACAAGATCCAAGAAGCTCTTGGAGAGGTACGCAGCTGGGGGATTCCGAAAGATTTTGTTCACGGATGAGAAAATCTTCACCATAGAAGAAAAATTCAACCGACAAAATGACAAAGTGTATGCAAGGAGTTCACAGGAAGCTTCGGGGATCATTCCGAGAGTTGAGAGAGGCCACCACCCTGCGTCAGTCATGGTTTGGTGGGGGGTGTCCTACGAAGGGGTCACTCAGCTCCATTTCTGTAAACAGGGCGTGAAAACAAAAGCGGCAAACTATCAGAGCGACATACTGGATCCTATCGTCAAGCCTTTAAGTGGTACATTGTTTGCCAACCAACACTGGGTCTACCAGCAGGATTCCGCCCCCGCTCACAAGGCTAAGAGTACGCAGCGCTGGCTGGAAAGCAATGTGCCAGAGTTCATTGCTGCGGAAGATTGGCCCTCAGGGAGTCCGGACCTCAATCCTTTAGACTACAAGTTGTGGGACCTGCTAGAGCAGTTGGCCTGCTCCAAAGCCCACCGTAATATCGAGTCCCTGAAAGCGGATTTGATCCGATCAGCGGCAGCTATTCCTTTGGAAGCTGTGCGTGCAGTGATAGATGAGTGGCCCGCGAGATTGAAGCAGTGTGTGAAGGCCAAGGGGGGACATTTTGAATAAAACTGTTTGATTATGAATTCTAAAAATGTTGTCGAATAAATAATATCTTTCATATAAATATATCTTATCTTGTTTCATTTTTATCATGAGATTATCATGGGACAGAACTTATGGCACGACTACGTATTTCAACGAGTGTGCAATTCCATGAGAAGGAGGGCGGAAGCATGCATACTAAGTGAATAGGGCCATTTTCAACAATTTGAAAAACATCGAAGTCAATACCCGTACGCACGCCACTGTTAAAGCTTTGAAAAGCATGCAACTTTATTAACTTTCACTATGTACTGAATATCAGTGAAATATCTGAAGCGGTTCTGAAAATATTAATTAATTTCCATTTATTTACTAAAACTTCAACACCCCGAGTTTTTGTAAGGAAACATTTTTGGACCATAGTTTATAAAGCAAACTAACATTGATTTTTTATGTAGATTCACATCCTTAAATATTCGCATATCATTAAGGAACACCCTGTACACATGTTACCACTAGCTCAAATATTTGGTATTTAGGTTTAGTTGAGTTTCAGTCATACAAAGTCAATTTAACTTGATGTACCTTGATCATCCTTAGCTGATTCAATGCTTGTGCTCTTTTCTTCTAACGGTGTATTATCAATATTTTTTGGAGAAATAGCCTCAGTTGTCAAAGAATCTCGAGATATGACAGTTTTGTTGGACATATCAGATCGTGTTAAACTGTCTGTATCATCAATGTTCACCGTCTGCGTAAGCGTGCCAACTTTTGAAAGCACGATTCTATTTATATCTGAAGAATTTTTGTCTGACATCAAAGGAAGACTGCGTGAATGCAATTTATTGAATAGTATATCTTCTTCAATTGAACCTATTTTCTCTTTATCGGTAAGTGAAGAGCCTAAAAATGAACGATGAACTATTTAAGTCGTTTAAAACTACAAATTATAACACCTTTATATTTTAACAAAACGATGGTAAGGTTTGTTACTCAAGAAAATATACAGGGTGTTTGGTACATGAACCGATTGGGGACGCTATTTGATGATTTTTGCTGGAAACCGCAATGCTCCAAGGTCTACGGTTACCGATATATGATCGTTTTTGTTTGTTCCTGAACCTAATCAACTGTTCGCTTCTTCTGACCGCACAACATATTATTTCTGTGATGTGTAGTCGTTGGAAAAGCAATAAATCACAGAATTTTTGTAAGTAATACTAGGTTTCAAAAAAGGTATGGTTTTTTATAATCGAATTTCAAATTTGAAATTATTTATACACTCCACGTGATTGTACGACTTTGGAAGGTCAAGTCATTTGCAAGAACCGCTTATGTGATCTGATTGAGTATACATTACAGAACAGACTTATGTTTATTCCTAAACCGGGCAGAGATAGATATACTGGCCCGAAGGATTTTCGACCGATTACTCTTTCATCTTTTGTGCTTAAGACCCTGGAAAGGATAGTTGATAGATACCTAAGGGATGGCCCACTGGAAAGGTGTGTCATTCATGCAAATCAGTTTGCATACCAAGCTGGAAAATCGACTGATCTGGCCTTACACAATCTGGTCGGGAGGCTGGAGAAGACTCTAGATCAGCGAGAAGTGGCACTCGTGGCCTTCTTGGATATTGAAGGTGCATTTAATTGCACCACAACCGACTCTATCAGACAGGCCTTGGTTAGACACGGGGTTGGATCAATCCTAATAGATTGGGTCCTCTCTACTCTGGAGGGTCGGGTAACAACAGCTATGCTGAATAACGTAAGCTGCAGCGTGAACGTAGCTAGAGGCTGCCCTCAGGGCGGAGTTCTGTCACCCCTACTGTGGTGTATCGTGGTGAACGAACTGCTCGTTAGGCTCAGCAGTATGGGTGTCTACGCGCAAGCCTATGCTGATGACGTAAGCATAGTGGTTAGGGGGCGTTTCTGTAGAACAGTCTCGGAAATTATGCAGGGCGCTCTGCGCTCCGTGGAATCGTGGTGTAGGGAAGTCGATCTTTCTGTTAATGCTGAAAAGACCGAGCTGATCCTATTCACTAGGAGAAGAAGGCTTGACGGACTGGTCATGCCGACCTTCTTTGGGACTAGATTAGTTTTGTCCCAGTCAGTGAAATATCTGGGAATTATCCTGGACTGCAAACTGAACTGGAGAGAGCATGTGGAACACAAGGTTAGCAAGGCTCGCAATTCGATGTGGGCTTGTAGACGTGTTGTCGGTGTAAGGTGGGGGCTTAAACCCAAAGTGGTATACTGGCTCTACACGACGATAGTACGTCCATCTCTCTTGTACGGCTCCCTGGTCTGGTGGCCTTGCATTAGAACTGAGTCAACTAAGGCCAAACTCAATAAAATTCAGCGTTTGGCCTGTATTAGCATTACAAGCGCAGTGCGAACAACGCCATTGAGTGCAATGGAAGCTCTGTTGGATCTCCCACCGTTGGATCTGGTGATCCGCGGTGAAGCGAGAGTAGTCGCTCATCGACTGTGGAGTCAGGGCAGCTGGGCTTTCTTGAATCCGGTCAAGGGGCATACTGCCATCTTAGTCGAATTAGAAAGGGAGGACCCCGTCCTTCTAAGCAGGGGTGATCGTATTACCCCTAAATATCGCTTCAACCGCAAGTTTATTGTGGAGTACCCAACGAGGGAGGAGTGGGACGCCGGTAGCCGAGGACTCTCCGAAGTGAGCGGGCAGGTCTGGTACACGGACGGCTCGGTCACCGAAGAGGGCTCAGGTGCTGGGGTCTCTGGACCTAGAACTAGGCTATCTCTGCCTCTCGGTGAGTACACCACCATTTTCCAGGCGGAAATCTTTACGATTCTGGCTTGTGTATCTCACATTCTGGAGGAGGGTGGGCCTAGGAGAAGAATAACAATCTTATTCGACAGCCAGGCTGCAATGAAAGCACTAAGTGCATGTAAGATTACTTCGAGTCTTGTATTGCAATGCAGGGAGGCTCTGGATTGCCTCGCAGCGAGGCATCCGGTATCGTTAATATGGGTACCGGGGCACGCTGGGATAAGGGGCAATGAGACGGCGGACACTCTGGCGAAAACAGGATCAGCCAGCAAGCTCGTTGGTCCTGAGCCAGCTCTAGGAGTAACCGCGCATAAAGCTAGGAGGAAAATGGAGACGTGGGTTGCAAGACAACACTCTCAGAAATGGAGAAGTATCTCTAGACATCTCCGCCAGGCACGAGAGCTCATTGAAGGGCCCAGTGCTAAGGATGGACGCTTCTGCCTATCTCTGGGTAGAGCCAACCTAAGGTTGCTGGTGGGACTGTTGTCTGGCCATAACACGTTAAGGCGGCACCTGCACGTGATGGGGGTGGCTGAGGATCCCTTGTGCGAACGCTGCAGAGTAGAGGAAGAGACCTCGGCGCACGTTTTGTGTCGCTGTGAAGCTCTGAGCTACCATAGGCAGACTATACTGGGGTCCATTACTTTGGACCCACAGGACGTAAAGGAGCTTGGACTCAAGGCGATTCTCAACTTCGCTAAAAGGGCGAGGCTTGTGATTTAAGTATTGTAGAGGTGCATAAGGGCCCGCTTAAGCGGCCTATGCACTGGCTCCTTATGGTGGCCGGGATGCCTCTAAAATTCAAGATTCATTCATTCATATGTTTATTTTGTGTCGTTATCTCTAGAAACAAAAAAGTTATAGCGATATTTATGCGCAATTGTAGGTAATTCAGCAAAAAAACGATCATATCTCGGTAACCGTAGCCCTTAGAGCATTGCGGTTTCCATCAAAAATTATCAATAGCATCCCCAATTGCCCAAGCAATTGTTTTGGTTCAACTGGTCAACTAGGCAACCAAATTACTATTGTACAGGGTGGCCGAAACTTTGAAATTATGTATGAAAAATAATATCAGACAAATGTCCGCCTCTAGAAGCCGCGCTAACCTGACCCCTTCTGATTACATTTTCTATCACTTTTTGGTAGATTTCGGGAGAAATATTTTCAATCGCTTCCGAAATATTGTTCTTCAGCTGCTCTCAGCATTTGGTTTGTTGGCATAAACCCTATTTTTCAAAAATCTCCATAAAAAAGTCAGGAGCCGTTAAATCCGGTGACCTTGGTGGTCAGTTGACATCACCAAATCGAGAAAATAAACGTCCTGGAAATATTGTTCGCAAAAGATTCATTGTTACCTCAGCTGTGTGACAAGTTGCTCCGTCCTGCTGGAACCACATGTTTTGCAGGTTAAATTGTTGGATTTGAGGAGCCAGAAAGTTTTGCATAATATCCCGGAAGCGCTCGCCACTCTGTGCGATCCCTCCACCACCCTTGTTTCAGGCAACCTCACACCTTGAGGAGTGGGGGGAAGAGTAACTGGCTCTTCCCTCCCTTCCCGCCCCTTGGTTTGGAGTGAAGCTGCGTGAACCGAGTACTGCACTTGTTTTCCCCGAGTGTGTGCTTCCGAGCGAGCTACCCTCTCCATAATTTTTCCCTTTTTTACTAGTGACTCGATCGCGCACACGTCCTGGAAGCGCGTGGTGGACATTTCTTCCATCTGTCGGTTCTCAACTTTTATGGACGGCCTCTTTCTTGGGGGGGGGGGTCCTGCGCTGGGGACTTTGACCTAAGCCCCGCATTAAGGTTGTGGAGCCTTTGCTCTTTGGTCCATCTTTGGTCGATCTTCGACTTGATGCACCATTCCTCTAGGGTGGTAGTCGCTCGCTGCAGATATTCCGTAACCATGCGGGGTATCGTGGGGGTATCGTACACTCTGCCGCATATGCTGTGTCGTCCGCATACACATACAGCTGCGTTTTTGGAATCTTCGGGATGTCTGAACTGTAGCTTGTATACGGCAAGAGTGATAGTACCGTTCCCTGCGGTACTCCTGCCTCCACAGTCCCCGTCTTCGAAGTTGTTTTACCAATCCTAATCCGGATTTCGGTGCTTCAAATAGGACTTCACCAGTTGAATCTCATCTCTGTTGAGAATCCGAAGTCTACCATCTTGTAGATAAGTCCGTCATGCCAGACAGTGTCGAACGCCTTGGCTGCATCCATGAACACCGCCCCAGTGCTCGCCGTGTTTGGAACGATTTTGTTGCCATCTTGACCAGCCGTAGGACCTGGGGCTCTGCGGAATGATCGCTTCGGAATCCGAACTGCTCATCTGGCACTACTTGAAGTTTTTCAGTTTCGTTCCTCAGTCTTCGTTCCATTACCCTCTCCGCAATCTTGCTCAATGCCGTCAATAGACTTATGGGTCTATAGTTTTGGGATAATATTGAGTCCTTCCCAGGCTTCGGTATGCTGATCACTTCGGCTACTTTCCAGTGTTCTGGAAAGTATCGGTGTCTCAGGATGGCGTTGACGATGTTGGTAATTGCCATTATCGCTTTACTCGGGAGTCTCTTCAAGACTCTGTTCCCAATTTAATCTACACCCGGTGCTTTCTTCACCTTGAGTCTTCCGATCATTTTCCTTACCTCGCCTGGAGAGGTCATGTCTTCTATGGCTCTTCCACCTCTTACAGTGTGTTGAGCGTACACTGTCGCTGAAGGTTGTCAGCAAAAGCTTCAGCCTTCTCATCGGCTGTGTACACCATCCCATGTTCGCTGTGTATTGGGGGGATGGGCTGTCTTCGATTTCTAAGAATTTTCGCCACGTTCCACATTCCTGGATCAGCTGGAGATAGTTCTTCGAGTAGTGACAGTAAGAGAATTACCTGCAGCGTCTTCAAAGAAGTAAGGTGACCCCTCCATACCAAACACCGCACCAGACTGTGACTCGACAAGGATGTAATGGTCGTTGATGGATGACACGAAGGTTCTCTAATTCCCAGATACGACAATTCTGCTTATTAACAGATTCGTTCATATTCAAGGGGGCTTCATCGCTCATTATCAGTTGTCGTAAAAATCGTTATTTTTGGTA